TAACCTGTTATCATAAACATAACCTGTTATCATAAACATAACCTGTTATCACAAACATAACCTGTTATCATATCACATAAATAACCTGTAACCTTTAACCTGTACATAATAAACATAAACAAACCTGTTATCATAAACATAACCTGTTATAAACATAAATCATAAAATAACCTGTTATCATAAACATAACCTGTTATCATCACAACATAACATAACCTGTTATCACAAAAACCTGTTATACAAACCTGTTATCACAAACATAACCTGTTATCATAAACATAACCTGTTATCATAACATAACCTGTCATCATAAACATAACCTGTCATCATAAACATAACCTGTCATCATAAACATAACCTGTCATCATAAACATAACCTGTTATCATAAACATAACCTGTTATCATAAACATAACCTGTTATCATAAACATAACCTGTTATCACAAAGATTGCCCTTGATCCGTTATCACAAATATTACCTTAAATTTGTTGTCACAAATGTAACTTTTAATCGGTTATCACAAATGTTACCTTAAAACTGTTGTTACAAATGTGACCTTTAATCTGCTATCCCAACAGTAATCTTTCACCTTCCACAAATGCCAACTTTGACCCACTGGGACATAAGGCACTATTAACCAACTAAAACAAATCATTAAAACAAACTAAGCTTAAAAGATCACTGACAAAAACGAAGACAAATAAACAACTATAACATAGTACGCAAAACAAAAGTTAGTTGCGTATCCCTTAACAGGATGTTGCAGAACCAACCCCAGCATTTTTTGGCTGTTATGGTTTTTCTAGGCAAATTTACGTCCAGTAGTTTGCAATTGCTTTCTGGATGGTCAGATTCTTGATACCACTGTCGAAACCAACGCATGGCGCAAGGCCCGCAGCTGGGATCGAACCAGGCACCCTGGCATTAGTGAAGTGCGTTCCCAACGCCTAAGCCACAGATGCTGAAAGGCAAAATAAATCACTGTAAAATACTTAATGCGATCAAAAGTAGGTAGTGAAATAAGCACATAGACATTAGAGATACCACAAGCTAGTCATGACACATGACTCACTTTCAATATTAAGCAACTGCTCCGTCTCGGTGACTTCATCATTCTCGTCCAGCAATGGAAACTGAATTTCCGAGCTTGGTTCCTCTTTAATTCTGGAAGAGAAAATTGGGCACCTTGACCACACAATGACTAGTTACAGTTACATTAGCCAATTCATAGTTGTTACTTTAACTCTTTCAGTTAGGGCAAACCGAAATTCCTCCAACTATTTATGAAACAGTGTTATTTACAGAACTGTCATTTGAGGGGGAAAGGAGGGGGGGGGTTACTATGCCATCAAATAACCTAATTTTTATAAAACTTTACAGCTAGAGAGAGTAAAAACCGTACTTAGTGTAATTGTACTTATGTGCCCTATTAAGGACAGTGTCAAAGCCTTCACTCTCTAGAAACCCTCAGAAGGTTACCTGTCCACTTAATTATTATTTAACTTGAATGTAGAACTAGATGACACAACTGGAGTTAAGCAATTTCACAGTAAGAACTTTAGATAGTTAACAAAACTAACATACTATAACTTCATACGGAGTCGGTTAGTGAGTAAAAACAAAATTCCTTATAAATCAGTGTAAGGTATAAAAAAAAAGTGGTTAGCAAACAATATTCAGTGACCTTTACATCGAAACTCACACTTTCGATATAAGGAGAGGGACCAGTAATATGGACCCTCACAGACAAGACTCCATAAACATCACAACAAGCAGCTTATGCTCTGAATGGTAGAAAGCATTCATAAGTTGTAGTAACCTCAGTCATTTGGATCTACACACCTGGGCATGCAGGAGTAAAAGGTAATGAAAGAGCTGACCAGCTTGCATGTGACAGACCAATTTAAACAGAAAGAATCATGGACAGATCTGATATCATCAACACTGTACCACTAGGTTGGGGGATAATGTTGAATCTCTGATGCTAACCTGGTTGCGTTACCTGGGAGTAAAGCTTCGTAAAGTATGTCCATGTTGTCTTCGAGGTCCAAACAGGAGATGCTATAACCAAATCCTCATGGAAACAATCAGTAGAGGTATCATGTATTGACTGATGCATGAGTGGACTGAGCATGAATGGGTATGCCCAATGTGCAGTGATGTTGACTGTGATAACATAACAAGACAAGACACTAGAGAGGTGACACAAGACAACACTAGAACTTCAGAGACAACAGACATTTCTCTCCTCCGTGTAGCACATGATGAAACTGTGTGATACAAGTATTTTCAAACAAAAAGGGTCTGCTACATTACATTTAACATCTGATATCTCACAATCACAACGCTGTTATTTTCAATTTCCTAAATTCTGGTTATTCTTGTGTAAGTCTCTGACATATTTATTAGTTTTGTGTTCTAAATAACTAATTCGACACATTTTACGAATTAGTTATTTAGAACACAAAACTAATAAATATGTCAGAGACAAAATTTGCAAATTTGCGGGACATCAGAAGCCTCTCTTTGCAGTGGTGAAACGTCGCTAGCTAGCTTGGTTTGGGCATGTGGTGAGACATGATTCAGTTGCAAAGACTGTACTCCAAGGAACATTGGGGGGTAGTCGAAGAAGACTAGGGCAAAGAAGAACCTGGAATGACAGCACCAAGAAATGGACAGGACTTATTCATCTAGTGGAAGACAGAGAAAGATGGCAGGTTTTATGTGCTAGTGCTTCCATCAATACACCTCCATCATGCACCCTAATGGGTCAAGGGTTATGTTATGTGTTATTCTAGTTATTTGTTACTTTCTCAAGTGCAGATAAAATAGTTACTTGCAACTTCATGTATTCTAGACAATTTTCAGGCATTTGTTAATTTTTAAGTTCCCCTAATGATCCATTCTGTCACTTAATCTGTACTTTTTCAAGCCAAGAGAACCGACTCCACTGCACTGGTTTTTTTTATTTATAATTTGTATATATATAGATGACTCAGTCTCTCTCTGCATAATGGCTAGCCACATGTCGAGACAGTCACACAATGCACAAACTCAATAGCTCCAACAATGACTGCATGTAAAAACTATACTTATAAATCAAATGAAGCAGTTACCCGTGTCCGTTCCGGAGCCCTGTTATAGGGAAAACAAGAATAGACCCACTGCCTACCTAAAAGCTTGTCGTAAGAGTTGACTAATTGGGAGCTTCCTTGAAGGTCGGAGTGCATTTGCTTGAAAGGCAAGGAACCAGCAGTCTGCATACAGATGAATCAGATTTGTAAAATGGATGCACGAGCAACACTCAGGTTCTGGAACAGGACTGCAGTCTAGAAGTGGACGAGCAACCAGAACTTTACGCTGGAGTTTACAGCTGGTGAATGCGAAGAAGAAGAAGAAATGAAGCAAGGTGTGCAATGAACTCATGATTGCCAAATGCCAGGTTTGGCCCCAAAGATTCCTTTACTTAAATCTTTGACAGCATAGATGCTTCAACAAAAGAACATTGCTGCCAAGAACTCACCTGATAACATGAAGGGTATCCTTGCTACTCTGTGAGGAAGATGCTGGTTTGACCACAGCTGAGGGCTGTTTACTGAGGGCATTGTACTCTGCCGTGAGTGCCTGGCACTGCTGCTGTACCTTATCGTGGTACTGAAGTACTCGCTGTTTGTAGAAGTCCCTCAAACATGTGACACTGCCCATTCCCATTTCATGAAACACTCGCTCGATCAGATCCTGCAATTAGATTCATCAGTACCGCCATAAACATTGAATACCTCAGCCCTTGGGCTGGTCACAAAGCTACGTGTTCATCCCCTTGTGCCAATTAAGGAATTCCGCGTCAAGCATCAGACTAAATCCCCATGAATCACCCAGGAAGTAGTTGAAGTAATGAGAGAGCGAGATAATGCACATAAAAATAAAGATTTAATTAGATACCGAGGTCTGCGAAACAAAGTCCAGTATGCCATTCGTAAGGAGAAGAAGAACTTTAAAAAAATGTTAATAGTAGATAAAACAAACATCAAAGATATATGGAAGATAATTAATACATTGACAAAAAAAGGTACTTCAACGCGTTTACTGACATCTAACATAACATCAGATGATTTTAGTAAGTTCTTTGAAGCCGATATAGAACAGTTAAAAGCCACAATACCAAATTGTCCTTGTGATTTATCCATGCTTTCATCATTTTGTGAAAATAAATGCTCCGAAGATATTCCTTCTGACACACCTCTCATGTCAGTGGCTGATGTGTTTACACATCTCAAAAGCCTCAGAAACAGCAATGCGTCCGGTTTAGATGGAATCAGCAATAGGATCCTTCGCAGTGCTGCACCAGCTATTTGCGAGTCATTGACTTGTATCTACAACCAATGTCTTGCTAAAAGCTACTCCCCGTCGGCATTTAAGATTGCCAAAGTTTATCCACACCTAAAATCTGGTTCCTTAAACAGTAGCATCCCAGGTAACTATAGACCGACCTCCCTGTCATCATCTTTATCAAAACCACGAGAAAAACATATTCATAAAGTAACATTTCAATATTTAGATCGCAACAAACTTATAATCGATAACCAATCAGGGTTTCAACCAAAATATTCTAGCCATACTGCCTTAACAAACATGATAGAAAACTGGCATAAGAATATTAATGATGAGAAAATATGTGGAGGGGTATTTATAGACTTTAAAAAAGCTTTTGACATGATAGACCATAATATTCTTAGTAGAAAATTGGAAACAATGAAATTTAACCCTAGGCTTTTAAAGTTAATAAAATCATTTTTGTTAAAAAGGAAACAAATAATCTCTTACAATAAATCCCTATCGCGGACAACTAGCTTAAATACTGGGGTGCCTCAGGGCTCGATTCTCGGCCCTCTGTTATTTAATATCTACATAAATGATCTTCCCTTATGTCTGACGTCGTCCTGCGATCTATTCGCAGACAACTGTACCATCTATGCAAATGCTCAAACGAGCAGTGCATTAGAGTCGTCATTACAACAAGAACTAACCAATGTAGCTAAATGGAGCAGTGCAAACCGTATGCAAATAAACATTAATTAAACAAAATCTATGCTAATAACAACGAGACAAAAACTATGTAGTCTAAATTCGCTTCAACTCTACATTGGGAGGACTCAAGTGGAAAGTGTAACTGAGCACAAAGCACTGGGGTTAATCATTGATGCAAATCTAACCTTCAACTCACACGTACAATCACTTGTGAAGCAAACAGCTAAAAAGGTTTACCAGCTTTCAAAAATTAAAAACTTTCTTGATGAAAACATAAGAAAGATATTCTATATTTCTCACATACAGACATATATAGACTATTGCTCTACAATATGGGATGGCTGTTCCAGTTATGTTATCAAGAGGCTCACGTCACTGCAAAAGCGCGCCATTCGCTTAATAAGTAATAATCATAGGACAGTGAGTTCCGAAACGTATAAAGGTCTTATGCTACTACCGCTTCGTGAACGACTACTTTTCAATAAGGTGAAATTTATGCAACAAAATATTATCCCAAAAAGCTCCATGTTACTTATGGCCGTTGTTTAAATATAATGGAAGGCACAGTAAACGCCTAAACATATTACACATCCCTAAACCCAGGATAGACCTATACAAATCAAGTTTAGCGTACTCCGCAGCTCAGCTGTGGAATTGTCTTCCACAACAGATCAAAAATACCACTAGTCCCTATAGGTACAATAGAAAACTGTTTGAATATTATTTGAGCACAGATTACATACCCCCATAGAGGCAAAACAAAAATATTTTTGAAATAGCGCCTTTTTCCATAGATTTATAACAACCACTTCGGTTTGTTGTAGTTAGAAATGTAGACATTTCAGTGCTTGTACTTAATGTTTTGATGCTTTTGATAATGTTTTATTACCTGATGTGTGAATGAAATGATGAAAGAATGGAGGGAGACCTTGAAGGGCAGAATGTTAGACGGGCCTGCGTGCCCAATTCTTAACTCTTTAAAAATAAAGTTTGTTCGTTCGTTCTTCTATAGTTGTGCGTCATGTACTGCTGACTGACTGACATTTTACCCCACCAGGACATCACACCAAGCGATAAACACCCGGTGACACAAAGTACCACCATTCGGAAGAGGATCACCCAAGGACAGATCCCAGAATCCCCAGTTCAAACCGTAAATAGAGCCCCCCAACCATAGCCTGGGTGGGGCTTCACAATAACGAAAAATCGTATTCCACATGGGGACAGACATATATACAATCATGTACTGCACTATTACAAATTACAGCAGGAGGCATGGTACCAGGAAGGAGGGGCAAGGGCTGACCGACACGAAGATGGGCACAGGATATAAGTGACTCCTTGAGTGTGAAAGTACATGAGGCGGGAGAACTGGCGAGAGATCGAGTTTCTTTCAGGCAGACCGTGATGAGAGCGACGTTCTGCAAAGGACCTGCTACACGATGGATGGACTGCACTATTTACTTCAACATATCTGCACTGACAGAACATTCCATGTCTGTTTTATACATGTGTCCCCCCTCCCTGGGAACTGGGTTGAAGTCAGCCATCTTCTGGTCCTCCTCCTGTTACCTCTAAAGTTTCAGAGGTAGATGTGCACATCTTACGTATGCTCTTACGTATGCTTTGTATTAGCTGATCTTCATTTAAAGCAGTGGCTCTCAACCTTCGTAATGCTGCGACCCTTTAATACAGTTCCTCATGCTGCGGCGACCCCCAAACAATTATGTTATTAAGGTTAGTTGCGTATCCTTTATAGGACGTTGCAGAACCAACTCCAACAGCCCCTAGCTGTTGTGTGGTTTCTCTAGGCAAGTTTACATCCAGTAGTTTGCTATTGCTTTCTGGACGGTCGGCTTTCTTGATACCACTGTCAAAACCAACGCAAGGCGTGTGGCCTGCAGCTGGGATCAAACCTGGCATCCCGGCATTTCGAAGCGTTCGCATCGACTTAGCCACAGAGCCGAAAATCAAGTTATTATTAATTCATAATCATTAGCGCAGTCGATAAGTGGCTCACTTTCAAATCCAGCTGCGACTCGCTGCAGCCACGGTTGGTGTTCGAAACTGGGTGGTTCCCGGGGTTCACCCAGCCTCTAGGAAATGGGTACCAGTGTTGACACTCTGGGGTAAATGGAGGAATGTCGCTGTAGCTACAGAGTTACGTGCAAACGGCGATACAGGCGGACAATTCTTTTCAGCTGTCCGTACTGGTGGCAGAGCACTTATGGTTTATAACTGTGTGCAATGACGCTGGTTCTCATCTCCCGACTTTACCTTTACCTTTAACTTCAAAGAATATGTGTTTTCCGATGGTCTTAGAGGACCCTTGTGAAAGAGTTGTTCAAACCAAAAAAGGTTGCCACCCACAGGTTGAGAACCGCTGTTTTAGATGCTTCTGGGCCTGTAGTGGGCTCATAATTCACCTCCGGAGTCATAAACAATCAACTATAGTTTCATGACAGATGAAAGAAAGAATTAGCTTCATCACCTGTGATGGATCAACAGCAATCTGGTGGTAGTTTTGACATATGTCTGAACCATCTGACCTGTTGTCTCTTTACGTAGTTTTAGCATTGGCTCACCACCTCAGCTTATTTCCTGATACAGTCATGTCTTATTTGTCTCGTCTGCTCTAGTACTGTTTATCAGTATACAGAATATGACATATTCATGAATTTAAAAACAACATACAACTCACGGGAAATCCATCAGGTCCATACAACCCTCGTCGATCAGCTGCTTGACCCAAATGTCGCGTGAATTGTATCAGAAATTCTGAACAAATGTCTGTCAGTGTCTCCAACACAGACTCTTGAGTGGCTGCGGATATTTCATATTACAGACTATTACAGTCAGAACTACGCAGCCCACCACTAGAACTGTAGTTCAGCATCAATGGAGGCAGCAGTTACACACACACAAAAAAACAATAACCAGCAGTTGTACAAGCAATAATGCATAAGGCACCCACTAGACAGTTCAACATTTTTTTAATCTGCAGTTCTTACGACAAACCACCCTGGGCCCAGGTGAGGCCATAGAACCCACAGCTCACAATAATGCATCATGCACACAACAAAACTGGTGATGAAACTGTACTTTTAGTCCACATATCTCGGGGGATGGGACAGTAAACCATGCCCAGAAGCAAATAACACGGCACAGCTTAATGGATGGCCAGCCCATCCACCACACTGAACCCAAAGACAGTAAGAAATTATTCTATAAAAATACCAAGTTAATTTTTTTAAAATCAATTAGGATTCAAACTAACGAACATTAGTCTGACAGGATAACATGCTGTCTGGTACCTTCTTAATCCAACTGTTCGTAATCATATTTATTATCTGTGAGAAAGACAAGCTGACAGTAGATGACAAGGACAAAACCTCACACAGTCAATCATCATCATCACAATCATGTAGCAGCTCCTCTGTAGAAGTTCACGCTCAACACAGTCTGAATGCAAGAAAGTCGGTCTCTCGCCAGCTCTCCTGTCTTGTGCACTCTCCACTCAAGGTGTTACTTATATTATGTGCCCATCTTCGTGCTGGTCATCCCCTGCTTCTCCTTCCTGGTACCTTGCCCTTTGATATTATTTTTTTTTTAAAAACCATCATGCTGTCTGATATGGCCAAAATATTTCACTTTCCGAGATAAGATGCTGTTTAGTACCAATCTTGCTTGACGTTCAGATCTTTTAGGATGTCAGCATTTCTTTTTTTTTTCTTTGTCCGTGGTATTCTGGTAATCTTTCTATACGATTTACACTCGAAAGCCAATATTTTCTTTCTTAACTCTTTGAGTCCCAAGGGGTTAAGCATCAGAGGTCCCAGGGGTAGTCAAGAGAGACCTAAAATCAGCGCATCTTGCGTTTACCAGGCTTCCAGATAGGAACATATGAATGTATGATGCCTTCCTTAGGACTCAAAGAATTAAGGACTGAGAGACAGTCTATGACTCCAGTCCATGTGCTATTATAGGAAAGATTCAGGCTCTCAAAATTTGACTTTGATTTCCTCACTAGTGCTTAGCCATACTTTTTAATGTTGTTTAATATTTATATTGCTATGGCTAGCTTCTATTTGACGTATGTTGAACAATCTCCAATGCTGCTTTTATGGAGCCTAAATATTTAAAGATTGTGACATTTTTAGTTTCTTCATAATTTATTGTTATTACTCTGTCAATAATTCAGTAAAATTAATAAAAGAATGAAGTTAAAAATAACATACTGTCAAATGACAGGTGAGCACAAATGGCAGCTGTAGATCGTCTCAAAAGTCTTCGGCACGTGACATCATCTATCGGTGCCGGGGAGACACCAATGCCTCTCACAAAGTCACTAAAATGAAATTTGGAATTTCAGGGGTTAAGGGAAAACATAAAAGTAAATTAAAAAAAAAAGTAAAGGACCTTTTTCCATGTCTTTAGGCATATAGGGCTAGACCTATATTTTTACAGACCAATCGGCACAAGATGGGTGATGTGGTCAGCATCATGCCGACCACCTTTACTTCCTGGGGCTGCACCCACTTAAGGCTGTGTCGACCTGGGAGTCAAGGTCATTTTTGGAAAAAGTCCAGGCCCTGCCAGGGAGCGAACCCACGTTCTTCAGATCTACACTCGAGCGTCTAGCCGCTACGCCACGGCAACTCCCACAACACAATAGTAGAGAAAAAAATTTGAAATGATATGCCAGGTTTTTCTGTCCTAATAATGGTATGAGGATCACTGAACACAAGACTGCTGTGAATTCTGTTTGATTAAACTCTATTCTTTGGAAATTATTACAGGGGTTGCCTTATACTTTTTACATTCCATGAATATTCCATGAACTGGATCCGATATCACTACCGACGGTCAGCTTATGGATCATGCTGATATTATTAATGCCCTCAGAGAAATGGGAATGATAGAGGACTTTAGGGGCAGTGAATCCACATCACTTGCCAGAATGGCAGACTTGGGAATTAAGATCGGCATAGCAAAAAACAAGACGCACACCAGAAGACTTGTTAACTCTTTGAGTCCCAGGAGGTTTAGCATCAGGGGGTAGTTAATAAAGTCATAAAATCGGCGCATCATGCGTTCATTGGGCTTCTGGGTAGGAAGCTATGAACGTATGATGCGTTCCTTGGGACTCAAAGAGTTAATCAACTTAGAACTGGTACTACTAGCCATCGGACGTTAGGGTTCATACTGAGGGGAGGATCTGAGCACCTATGGACATGTCCGGAGTGCAATGATGACAACCCAACTAACTAACTAACATGCTATGAGTATTCTACTGGTGGTAGCATTCATATTTTTTCTGATCAGTACGGCTCTGGGCAACCTCGGGTCTCATAAAAATTTGTATTAGAAAAATTTCCAGAATTGTTCGGGTAGGAAATGTGACAAGGAAAGGAAATGATCATCTCATACGTTGCATCTAGAATATGTCAGGGCGCAACACTTCGTATCCCAACAGCAGTATGTGTTACAGAACTACTTCAATACCTGAACTCTCTCCTTTCGAGAAGCATAAAACCTGGCACTACACTTTGTGCCAGGGTCCCGTAAATGTTCTTTTCCCGGCTTGCTATAGAAGCTAACCCAGCTAACAGCACTGTTTTCATTTTTCCTGGGCAACTTTTTAGAATGAATGATAATAAACACAGCTATTTAAAAAAAAAATTATTCAGGTGGAGTTTTTTGAGTAGAAAATGGCTTTATTCATAGAAATCTGGACATCAAAATTACCCGTTATTTACAGAGGTAATTTGCGGCCTGGCCATGGGGTCAAGAACAGGTCATGCTAAACAGCTTTTTAAAGCTCAGAGGGATGTAACCCAGTCAATTCTCTGCTCTCTTCGTATTTACTGCTCCCTTCGTATTTACTGCTACCTTTCGTATTTACTGATTACTTCCATTATTTTGTATGCAATTAAAGACTGTTTTGGTCCATAAATGCAATTGCTATAATTTTGTGCATGACCTTTATTGAGTGTTTTTTTTTTTTTTCAGCAAAGAAATATTTGTTTAGAAAACCTGAAATTCTAAGAATGCAGGTCTGTGGCATTTTTTCTATCTAAGTCACAAGGACCAATGAGTTAAGTCTGTGCAACATAAACGTGTTCATACTATTTATATTACACGTAGGGTCCAGTAATGTAATAATTATCATGCTCACATCACATGCGAGAGATCCTAGGTTCAATCCCCAGCTAAACGACATAGCTTAGGAGGTCTCCATGGCAAAGTGGTCAAGCCGTTTACCTTATGCTATGAAGGTCGCGGGTTCATTTCAAGCCTGTGTCATTTTGTTCATGAGTGCAATTTTTAACAGAGACCCCTGGTGGTTGTTCCTGGAGCTATGGTGTTTGTGCGTTGTGTGACATTCTTGGCTAAGGGCTAGCTCTTGTATGGAGAGAGACTGAGCCATATAGGATAAAAACTTGGTGCAATTAAGTCGACTCTTGACTGTAACTTTAACTCATACCACTTTGTCCATTTTCAACTTTACACAATACAGGAACTGTGATTGCTCTGGTAATTTTAGTTCCGGTCATCAGGTAATTACAGTTCCAATGTCATAGTATAATAAACAGTGTGTTATTCAATGGATGTGTAATTTTTCAGTGTTCTCGATGTGATTGACGTGTTTTCCAGTGTCCTCTTAAGGATGAATCTGTGTCAGGTCCAGCAAATCGGCAGTGGATTTAAGAGTTCACAAAAATCTGCTCTAGAAACAATATATGAGATTAGAAAATCCATCAAACGTAACAACAATCAGGGCTCGATAAAAATCGAAACACCAAGAGGCCGGGGAAGACCAAGAAGAAGATGGATTGAAGGAGTCACGGACAACTTGAGACTTCATAACATCACGGCATATGAAGCGACTGAGCGCGCCCTGGCTCGGTTGCTGATCATCTGATAGACTGTGATGCCTAGCGGCACAAGCAGATTTTGACAAAAGAAGAAGAAGAATGTCATAGCAAATAAGTCACCCCTTAGGCCAACACAAAGTCCACATAATGTTCATCACTGTCTGCTGTAAAAAAAAACATTGATACAGACTGCAGTCTTAGTAAATCCAACAGCATACACGCACAGGAAATGCATAAGGCAGCAGTCAGAAGTGCCAACACAGACCAACACTAGAAATGCAGTTCCTCGTCGATGGAAGCAGCTAGAACAGATCAGTAGTTGGATATGCAATTAATTGCATAAGGTACCACAAGTTCTCTGGCAACAGGCCACTTGCTATTTTTCTGAATCTGCAGTTCACAACACAAATCATGCTGGGCACAGATGAAAAGTATTCAAAATGAAATCTGCAGCTCACAGTATTACATCATGCACTTAACTCAGTGGCTGGGTGATGGAACTATACTCTTTCACTCTGCATATGAAGGAAAATGCAACAGCTAACTATTGTCAGAAGCAAAAACTTGCCCCAGCTTAAAAACAGTAAACCTGCCTACCCACCATATTGACCAGAACTAATTAAGAAACCAACTCTCAACCTACCTTTGGTAGTCTTCTTCTGTGAAGTATTTCTTCCGGGATCTGTCTCTCAGTGGTGGTCCCTCATACTCTGGCACTGGGCCAACACAGATGGCAACAGACTCACCCTCTGGTTTCTAAGATAAAAAAAAAAATTTATAATAATGCAGCAAATTCTGCAATATAGCTTTTACAACAACATAGTTAACAGAATGGCAAGCATCAGTTCAGAGGTCCCGGGTAGTTAGCGGCCTTTAGATATTTTCTCTAGGTCATGCCGGTGTGTTGGGAAATGAGCAGGGAGATAAGACAGATTGATCATTATGGGCTGAGGAGAATGGAGCTGCGAGGAGTTACCAGGGGATCTGGCAGATGCTCAACACTCAGGGGAAGGGCGAGATGGATATAAAATCAGACAGTTACTGGTGCCATCAGAATTGGAACTGTTCATTTTCTGCTGAAGATGGGTACGGAACGCTTACGGGAGTATCCCGGGTGCTGTGATGTCAATTCTTAATTCAACATTAAATATTGTTAGAATATCCTTTACAGGTTGCACTACAACAACATACATTAGGATGTCATCTATATGTTATAAAACCACCTTATCACAAGCCAGGTGAACACACAAAGAAAACACCATGGAGTGGGTGCGGGAAGGGGGACTCAAGACACACACTACCATAAATTACTGGCAGAAATAATGTAACAGAACGATAGGATAGTAATTCACAACAGACATACCATTTCTTGCTGCAAGGTAGCTATAGCTGCTCTGACCTTCTTGATGTGTTGAAGGAGTCGAATTGTGTGAATGACCAGTGGGTCCATTTGAAAATGTTCACTTGAGAGAACCCTAGGTAAATATAGGATATTTTAAAAAGCTCTAGAATCTAATCTAATTAATGAAAGGTTTACTGCAATCAGATGTTTTGGGCCAAAAAGCACAGGTATGACAGCCTAGTGGTAAACCAGAATTCTTATTCTTCTTCTCTTTCACCTTGTACCTCAGCGAAGTGTCAAGGGGAGATGTAACATTCGTTGATGAGCTGAGAAGAGCACTATTAAAACTGATATTCATTTCTGTTAGGCTGTTCTTAATGCCATCACTCCATATTTTCAGAGGTCTTTCACTCGCTCTATATCCGTTGTAATGTTTTAGTGTGGCTCGCTGTAGCAGATAATACCAGGGCTTGTTAGGTGTCCAAACCACTTCATTTGTTGTTCTTTGATGATTTGTAAGACAGGCTTTATTCCTAGCATTCTTCTGATTTTGTATTCTGTCTTTCCTTGAAACTCCTGCAGCTCTTCTAAGGCACTTCATCTCTGTTGTCCCAATTTTACACTCACTGGAGGATGTAAGTGTCCACATTTGGCACTGATAGCATAATGTTGGCCAAAAAATAGTTCTGATAAGATTCACTTTAGTACTCGGGGGTATCTGCTTGTGTGTCAACAGGTGAGATAGTTGCCCTATTACTTGATTATTAGTAAACCATAATGCAAAGTATAACCACTGTAATGGTGAATGCAGCAGCTGCTGATGAAGAAAAAGAAAGAGAAGGAGGAGGATAATGAGCAGAAGGAGGATGAGAAGAAGAGGAGGAGAAGGAGAAACAGGAGCAGAAGCAGAAGCAGAAGAAAGAGGTGGAGGAGAAGGAGAAACAGGAGCAGAAGGAGAAGAAAGAGGTTGAGGAGAAGGAGAAATAGGAGCAGAAGGAGGAGAAGGAGAAACAGGAGCAGAAGGAGAAGAAAGAGGTGGAGGACAAGGAGAAACAGGAGCAGAAGGAGAAGAAAGAGGTGGAGGAGAGGGGGAGGAGGAAGAAGAAGAAGAAGAAAGACACAAACTGACCCTTAGTACTGACATTGCTGAACACTAAGATCCCCTTTAACTCTTTCAGTCCCAAGGAACAAATCATACATTTTAAGGTTCCCACCTAGAAGCTCAATGTATGCATGAAGTGCCTATTATACATTTCTTTTTAACCACCCTTGGGCCTCTGATGCTAAACCCCTTGGAACTGAAACAGTTAAATACTATGTATTTCAAACGCAAGCAAAGTATTATGTGCACATGCTTTTCATCATGAATCCCAATCATAACGTAGTGTGTTCTCTGACAGGTGAAATATGGTCACAGTCTAGTCTACATATAGGTACTTTGTGGCCAGTTCCTCTGACTACTGAGCCTCAGTGAAAAGTGAACCTATAATTGTTAATAGTGGGTATATCTAGCCCTGGACATCTTGTGTAGACTTTTGGGGACTAGAGTTATAAGTACTTAAAACGCATCAAAGGTTCCTACCCAAAAGCCAAATGAAAGCAAGATGCGCCGATTTTACATCTCTCTCTTAGTCTTAGCTGAGGTTTCAACATCATTGTAATCGGGTTTTCCCCATACTTGCTACGTTCCTGTGCCAGCGAAATGAAATGTTTCTCACTGTCGCATTTGAAAATCTGGTGAACAAGCAATTAGTCTCGGAACAATCAAGAAATATGCGCAGACAGTAAATGCATATGGCATTTGCTAGAGGCGCCAAAGCCAACAGTTACCACCAGAAATGCAGTATATCGTTGATGGAAGCAGTCCAGCATGATAAGTTGGCTATACATACATAGAATTATTACATAAGGTATTTCACCAGAACACAGGTAAACCGGCTACCGGACATACTGAATACCATAACACACCCACCACACAAATGAAAGGCATTCAACATGAAAAAAAAAAAAAAAAAAAAAAAAAAAACCACAGCTCACTGTGCTGCACCAAGCACTAAATTCAGTAGTTCAGGCGGTGAAACCGTAGACTACCGTCCATATGTGGAAACGGCAAAAATAACTCTGAAGCTAAACATTCTGCCATGCCTAATCCACCATTTTACCGGAGGACACTGTCCTCTGAGGACTCTCTTTACTACCCCTTGGGCTTCTGAAGCTAAACCCCCAAGTAAAGGAGTAAGAGCCAGATCAGAGAAACAGATGAAACTGAGTACATGGCAGCAGAACACATGGCAAAACTGACATGAGTGCCCTTCAGGACTGCAGTCCAGAGGATTAACACAACTAGGGTGAGAATCCTATAATTACAAATCCTGGTAAGCCCTGTTCAACCATAAGATTTTGACCTGAGGTCCAGACCAGAAGAAAGATGAAGGGGAAGGGAAGGGGGGTGAGAACCAAGGTGTTGAGCAGTGTGACCTATGGTATGGAAATGGAAGAGTATATAGTAATAATAATATAATAATTGATTAAATTTAAAATTTACCTGTCCCGCGGAGGGTTCTGGAGCCCCATAGTGGGGAAAAACAAGAATAGATCCACTGCCTCCCTAACAATCATGCCGTAAGAGTTGATTAAATGGGGAGTTTCCTTTGAAGTCAAGAGTGCATCTGCCGGAGAGACAAGGAACCAACAGTCTGCATACAAATATGCCAGATCTGTAGAGCGGATGTACTCGCAACATTCAAGCTCTAGAACAAGTCTAAAGCCCAAAGCTGTATGAATAACCACCGCAGTAGTACAGATGGTCAACCCGAAGAAGAAATATAGCTGTTTCAAATATGATTGGCAGTGCAAACGAGGGAAACTGAACAAACAACAAATAAAATAACCATTTTCATACGAAGACAATGAGCGGCTGCTAAGCAGCAGCAGTAACAGCAAAAGATTAAGACACTGAGTATATTTCCAAGAACTTAGATCTGAGATACAACACAACTGATTAACCTACTCATTCGTTGGTGGGTGATGTCTGCTGGAAGGCTGGTGCAGCAGTGGACCCTCAATCTCCATTGCCCGCGGTTTAGTTATTTGTTCTCGCTCCAGAGCAGCAATGCCTGATTCTGTATCTGCGACCTGGGGTATCTCTCCCCAGTAGCTTGAAGTATTCATCTTCTTACTTCAGTAAACAATCCACATATTGTTATCAAAACCAAACCACTTCCGTTGTGTCCTGAAATCACAAACTTTGTGGGCGCATCCATGACAGCAGATTCGGGCATATTAGTACAAGTGTATTTTAAAAATCTACAAAATTATACGAAGATAAAATAAATAAATTACTTTACATGTAATTTCCCGTAATTTTTAATTATTCTCAAATAAATGCAGTAAATATAAAATTTAATTTTTCAAATAATTTGCCCCGTTATGGTTGGTGCCATGGAGACCAGGCTACAACTAATGGCGGCAGAAACACAGCGGTTGTGTAGAGTTGCATGTGATGTAAAGAAGAATAAGTTGAGAAATATGTGTTACGCTTAGCGATCAAAAGAGCTCAGAACACAGACTTGGTTAGCTGTTGGACAATAATTATTTAATTGTAAAGCAACCATTATTGGCTTTTCAAAGCGTTAAATAGAGCCACCTAATTATTAGTTATAGTACTCGACCGTATCCCCCGCGCCGCGCGGATGGGGGCTAAAGTCTAGATGGCTGGGAATCACGAGCAGCAGCTACCGCATCTCCTGCAACTTCCCCCAATTACTTTGCTCGTGAGTCCCAGGCACCTAGTTTAGCCTCCCATCCGCGCCGTGCGTAGCGGCACGGTGGATACGGTCGGCGGTGAGTTTAATCTATTAATCGCGTTTTGCGCATGCTGAAAACCATACCAGTTTATCGGTCATTACTCGATATCGATACAGTTCGGCAGGTCTGACATCTACCGCTGCTAAATCGTCAATCGGAAGAACAGTATTGCTAATCTGCGTGGGAGCGCGTGGTCTACCCGCCATATCGCTTTCATCGTCTGTAATGTCTCGAAATTGTCAATGGTCGCTATTATCGTCTGCTAGTATCGTCTGCAGACACGCTCAAAATTGTTAACGGTCACTATTATCGTCTGCTACTGTCGTATGCATTGTTGCCTCTGTTGAAATTGTCAAGTAATCCTAGTTTTGCCACGGTTTGTTCCTTGACAGAAAGTCCACATTTTACATATGCCTGAGCCCCATAAAGATATTTTTGGATATTGTATGGCTGCCATAATATTATGACACCGTTCGGAGGAGAGCCCTAATTACTGTTACACTATTCTCTGACTCTTTTAATAACTAATATAGAATAGGCATTTAATTATGTAAGTAGAAATAATATTCTTGGCTGACAGACTTACGATAGACTAACTTACTCTTTGAAACCCATCAGATCTGGGTAATATTCATCATATTTGTTGATGTGATACAGAAATTTGATTTTAAAACGATCTGATAACTGAAAACACTCACTAGCTGCTGAATAAAAGCATGACTTTAAGTTTAACATTCTCATTCCACTGACAATCGGGAGATTTGAGTGTGTGTTTACATGTGTAAAAGCAAAATGGCAACAACATTACCACCCATCAACAAGAATAAAAACCAGAATAATGGCAGAAGCAGAAGATCTTCTGAATATGCAGGCTTTTCTCAGACATCTTTTAAGACTGAGCCGGACAAACTGCCCATTGAGAAAATTAATGATCTTCGGAGTGAACTGCCCCTCCTGAAGAAACATGACATTGCAAAGTAAGTTGTTTTTGTAATTTTTAACCATATAATTGTCTTACTTAAATACTTATGTCAGTTATTTTTTAATATCCTACCCCAAATGACGTCAGAGGTCAGTCCAACATATTAGAGGGTGGTGAGACTGGGTTTACCGGCTTTGTGATGCTTTTAATGACACCAAAACATCTTGAAACTGGCCCTAACCCCAACCCACCTACGTCCTACAAAAGAGTGCAGCCTAGGTCCCACGACTGCATACAGCCTAGGTCCCACGACTGCATGCAGCCTATCTACCACCCCCTGAAACATTAGACTGTCCTGTGACCTGTGGATTTCCTCTGTTTGGGGTATGATATTAATAAACCACCCTTATGTCTTGTAAAAGCATCACTTTAGAGGTCCTGGGTTGATAGATTTCTTCGGATATTGTCTCCAGTCATGCTGGTGTATTGGAAAATAAACAGGCAGATAGACTGGCTGTTTCCACAAGTTTTAATGGTAAATTGATGCAGGAGAAGCTAGATGTTTTGAGGATCCTTTAGGAGCGAGTAAACAGTGCTCTTTTGGTAGCAAGTGAACAGAGCAGAGGAACAAACAGATCATCACGGTTTGAGGAGAATGGTGCTGCAAGGAGTGACCACAGACTAAAAATTGGTACAATAAAATATAATGGGAAGTAAAAGTAGCTGGCATATTATTGACCAGTCTATGAATTAGACATAATTTTTAATATATGGTTGAAAAATCTGTCTTAGGTTTCGAAACTCATACAATCACAACCTGTGTCTGGATATGCTGACTGATGGGTTTCACATGTCCTTTTGTGAGCTGATTATGCTCATTCGACAGCAGGTGGAGGAGCGAGACGCAGCAGGACCAGAGTCTTTTCTGTGGACTCGGCCACTGATAAGAGACCAGGCGTCAAAGCTGGACACTTTGAAGCTTCTTTTGACCAAAGCAGAACAAGCCAGTCGATTAGGTGAGTTGTGAGAGGGAGTTGTGAGAGGGAGTTGTGAGAGGGAGTTATCAGAAGAGCTGGGAGAGGGAGCTATCAGAAGAGTTGTGAGAGGGAGTTGTGAGAGGGAGTTGTGAGAGGGAGTTGTGAGAGGGAGTTATCAGAAGAGCTGGGAGAGGGAGTTATCAGAAGAGTTGTGAGAGGGTGTTGTGAGAGGGAGTTATCAGAAGAGCTGGGAGAGGGAGTTATCAGAAGAGTTGTGAGAGGGAGTTGTGAGAGGGAGTTATCAGAAGAGCTAGGAGAGGGAGTTATCAGAAGAGTTGTGAGAGGGAGTTGTGAGAGGGAGTTGTGAGAGGGAGTTATCAGAAGAGCTGGGAGAGGGAGTTATCAGAAGAGTTGTGAGAGGGAGTTGTGAGAGGGAGTTATCAGAAGAGCTGGGAGAGGGAGTTATCAGAAGAGTTGTGAGAGGGAGTTGTGAGAGGGAGTTATCAGAAGAGCTAGGAGAGGGAGTTATCAGAAGAGTTGTGAGAGGGAGTTGTGAGAGGGAGTTATCAGAAGAGCTGGGAGAGGGAGTTATCAGAAGAGTTGTGAGAGGGAGTTATCAGAAGAGCTGGGAGAGGGAGTTATCAGAAGAGTTGTGAGAGGGAGTTGTGAGAGGGAGTTATCAGAAGAGCTGGGAGAGGGAGTTATCAGAAGAGTTGTGAGAGGGAGTTAGAAGATTTGTGAGAGGGAGTTATCAGAAAAGTTGTGAGAGGGAGTTATCAGAAGAGTTGTGAGAGGGAGTTAGAAGATTTGTGAGAGGGAGTTATCAGAAAAGTTGTGAGAGGGAGTTATCAGAAGAGTTGTGAGAGGGAGTTATCAGAAGAGCTGGGAGAGGGAGCTATCAGAAGAGTTGTGAGAGGGAGTTGTGAGAGGGAGTTGTGAGAGGGAGTTGTGAGAGGGAGTTATCAGAAGAGCTAAGAGAGGGAGTTATCAGAAGAGTTGTGAGAGGGAGTTGTGAGAGGGAGTTATCAGAAGAGCTGGGAGAGGGAGTTATCAGAAGAGTTGTGAGAGGGAGTTGTGAGAGGGAGTTATCAGAAGAGCTAGGAGAGGGAGTTATCAGAAGAGTTGTGAGAGGGAGTTGTGAGAGGGAGTTGTGAGAGGGAGTTATCAGAAGAGCTGGGAGAGGGAGTTATCAGAAGAGTTGTGAGAGGGAGTTGTGAGAGGGAGTTATCAGAAGAGCTGGGAGAGGGAGTTATCAGAAGAGTTGTGAGAGGGAGTTGTGAGAGGGAGTTATCAGAAGAGCTAGGAGAGGGAGTTATCAGAAGAGTTGTGAGAGGGAGTTGTGAGAGGGAGTTATCAGAAGAGCTGGGAGAGGGAGTTATCAGAAGAGTTGTGAGAGGGAGTTATCAGAAGAGCTGGGAGAGGGAGTTATCAGAAGAGTTGTGAGAGGGAGTTGTGAGAGGGAGTTATCAGAAGAGCTGGGAGAGGGAGCTATCAGAAGAGTTGTGAGAGGGAGTTAGAAGATTTGTGAGAGGGAGTTATCAGAAAAGTTGTGAGAGGGAGTTATCAGAAGAGTTGTGAGAGGGAGTTAGAAGATTTGTGAGAGGGAGTTATCAGAAAAGTTGTGAGAGGGAGTTATCAGAACTGTGAGAGTGAAGTGTGAGAGGGAGTTGTGAGAGGGAGAAGTTCTGAGAAGATGTTGTCAGATGGAGTTTAGAAGTAAACAGTTTGAGATTGTTATGAGATAAAGGATCCTGAGAGATAGCTGTGACAGGTAGTTTTGACAGAAAGCTGTTGTGAGAGGTAGTTTTGACAGGGAGTTGTTGTGAGAGGTAGTTTTGACAGAGAGTTGTTGTGAGAGGTAGTTTTGACAGAGAGTTGTTGTGAGAGGTAGTTTTGACAGGGAGTTGTTGTGAGGTAGTTTTGACAGAGAGTTGTTGTGAGAGGTAGTTTTGACAGAGAGTTATTGTGAGAGGTAGTTTTGACAGGGAGTTGTTGTGAGAGGTAGTTTTGACAGGGAGTTGTTGTGAGAGGTAGTTTTGACAGAGAGTTGTTGTGAGAGGTAGTTTTGACAGAGAGTTGTTGTGAGAGGTAGTTTTGACAGGGATTTGTTGTGAGAGGTAGTTTTGACAGAGAGTTGTTGTGAGAGGTAGTTTTGACAGACGAGTTGTTGTGAGAGGTAGTTTTGACAGAGAGTTGTTGTGAGAGGTAGTTTTGACAGGGAGTTGTTGTGAGAGGTAGTTTTGACAGGGAGTTGTTGTGAGAGGTAGTTTTGACAGGGAGTTGTTGTGAGAGGTAGTTTTGACAGGGAGTTGTTGTGAGAGGTAGTTTTGACAGGGAGTTGTTGTGAGAGGTAGTTTTGACAGGGAGTTGTTGTGAGAGGTAGTTTTGACAGGGAGTTGTTGTGAGAGGTAGTTTTGACTGAGAGCTGTTGTGAGAGGTAGTTTTGACTGAAAGCTGTTGTGAGAGGTAGTTTTGACAGGGAGTTGTTGTGAGAGGTAGTTTTTGACGGAGAGTTGTTGTGGGAGGTAGTTTTGACGGGGAGTTGTTGTGAGAGGTAGTTTTGACTGAGAGCTGTTGTGAGAGGTAGTTTTGACTGAAAGCTGTTGTGAGAGGTAGTTTTGACAGGGAGTTGTTGTGAGAGGTAGTTTTGACAGGGTGCTGTTTTGAGAGGTAGTTTTGACAGAGAGCTGCTCTGAGAGGAAAGTTTGAAAGAGAAGCTGTTCACTTGAGTGAGAACGAGAACTACTAAGCTAACAAAACACACATTTTCATACTTCAGCTACAACTCATAAGAATCTCTAAAACACTTGTAAAGGGGTCTCCTTGGTGAAGGGGTCAAACCGTTTGCCCTCTGTTCTGAAGTTCACGGGTCCCCTTTAATGACATGTAGTTGACAAGTGCAGTTTTTTGAAGATCCCCAAGGATTGTCACTAGAGTAGCAGAGTTCATGCTTTGTGTAATGCTCTTGGCAGGCAGCTGACCATTCATCGTTGAGGCTGAGCCCCAAGGGATAAAACTCATGCAATATAGGCAGTCCTTCTCAACCTTTAACTAAACTTGAAACACCAGTACTAACTAAATGAAGGATAAAGTTAAAATTCAAACCCACGACCTCAAGAGTATTAGGCATATGGCTTAACTGCTTTGCCACAGAGACATTCAGTAGTATGATAACCTCAGTTTAAAATATTCAATTAATCAGGTGCTGTTTCCACAATAAATGTTGGCTACAATGAAATTCCAGTATGCTCGGTTTTTCGCCTTAGAGGTACACTTGATCAGACGGCTGTTTATCCATCTTTTGATGTTATTCCTCCACTTGTATCATTGTTTGCCTCTTGCTCGCTTGCTTTAAACCAATATGGCTTTTGTAAGTATATTTCTTTTAATATGGCCAAAATATTTAGCTTGTTTCTCTATTGTGTGTGTGTTTTTTTATATTTTCTTCAGCAATTCTCATTTCAGGAGTCGCCGTGGCCGAGCGGCTAGCCGCTCGCCGAAGGTCATGGGTTTGCTCCCTGGCGGAGCCAGAATTTTAAAAAAAATGACCTTGGCTCCCAGGTCGACCCAACCTTGAGTGGGTACTGGGTGCAGTCCCGGAAAAGTAAAGGCAGCTGGCGTGATGCTGACCACATCACCCTCCTGTGCCGATTGGTCAATAAACATATAGGTCTAGCCCTATATGCCCTATACGCCTAAAGGCGTGGAAAAGGGTCCTTTACTTACTTTTTACTTACTTTACTAATTCTCATTTCATACCTTGTATCTTCAGAATTACATTTAAAAAAAAAAGTATTATAAAGTTCAGAATACTATTCTCTTCAACAGAAAATATTGAGGAAGAATACAGGGCACGGTTTGAGCTTGCACAATCTTTTAGAAAGGATCCAAATGACCAGTGGCTAGTGGAACACTTCTTCGGCACTTGCCTAGAGGTGGCCAAGAAACAAGGCAAGGAGACACAGATGCTTGCAGAAGGACATTGCAATGTTGGACTGTTTCTTCAGAATAACAGTATGTGGTTGTCTTCTTTAGCCGTCTGTCTGTGTGCTGTGTTATGGCTTGCAAAGAGATACAGATGCTTGCAGAAGGACATTGCAATATCAGACAGTGTCTGGTTGTCTTCTTTAGTCATCTGTCTGTGTGCTGTGTTATGGCTTGCAAAGAGACACAGATGTTTGCAGAAGGTCATTGCATTGTTGGACTGTGTCTACAGAATAACTGTATGTGGTTGTCTTCTTTAGCCATCTGTCTGCATATTGTGTTATGGCTTGCAAAGAGGCACAGATGTTTGCAGAAGGACATTGCAATATTAGACAGTGTCTGGTTTTCTCCTTTAGCTAGCTGTCTGTGTGTTGTGTCCCCTATGGCTTGCTACCAGAAGGTTTGAACAGCCCCCTGAGACTTAACTCTCTCAGTCCGGCCCGGCTCTCTAGCGTAGTTGGCTAAACCGTATTGCACGGTGACCGGGTGACGAATTCCTTGTGGTCCGGGTTCACTCCCGGGTGTAGGCAGAAAAGCAAAATTTCTCCAAGATTTACGGTATTTACAATGGAATCAAGGCTGAAAGGTTGCTATATCTATAATACCGAGCCTAAGGGTTAACAACTCACGGCTTCTGGATACTAAAACAAACAAACAACAAGCAACTCTTTCAGTCCCAAGCAACTTGCAATTCGTTGTCGGTTTCTGCTCATATTCTTTAATCTCTGTTAACTCCTTATGTCCCAACTAGTTTTTACACCAACTAAATCTGCACCTACAGTTACTTTAACCCTTTCTGTCACCCACCTAGCATTGGCATTTTATTACTTCAGGTAGAAATATGTATTAGATCAAATAATAATTTCTTATGATTTAAGGAGTTAAAATAACATGTGTCTGGGACTGAAGGAGTTAGAGTCTCATCCTATGTAGCAGACCGAGAGAGCATATCCCTGATACCTCGTTTGACTATCATAAAAGTTATAATTATGGCGCCATTAATACTTTCAGCACCAGAAGGTTTCTTTAATATCACACTAAGAATACGGGTCTGCGGTATTGTTGGGACTAGATACTTGCCCACCAACTTAAAAGTCTTGGGTTCAAGTACGCATCAAGGCTGATTCCTTTCAAAACTGACCTTGCTCTCAGCTCAGTCCAGCTTAAAATGTGTACCAGGTAATGTCCTGGAAAGTAAAGGCAGCTGGTGTGTTGTTGACCACATCGCCCACTGAGCGCCAGTTGGTATATAAAAATGTAAGCTTAACATCATGTGCCAGATTGTCGCTGTTGTAAATAAAGGTAATAACTACTAACAAAAAATGTTTTTTTTTTTCTCAAGAAAATCACAAAGAAGCTGTCAAACATTTTGAGGCTTACCACAAACTGGCAAAAAATCACAGACACTGGAAAAGATTCGACAATATGACGTTCTACAAAGACTCGTGTGTTAAGTTATACCACATCTACACGATTTTTGGCTTAGAGCTGGGCAGAAGCAACGACGATGAGGACAAGACAGCTTCTTTGACAATGTTGACAGAAGCTTTGGAGATGGCAAAGAACAGTATGTTGTGTTTTTATAAGTAATTTTTATTTTAATTTATGCTGTTCCAAAATCTACACATTCTGAGAAGAGGTGAAGAGAGAATCACCAAACAGGCAGTGCAATAGGAAATACAGGGACTGAGGAGATAAGGGCGTCCAAGAGAAACCCCGAGGAGAATGTTGATGAGAGAAGCCAAAGGTGCTGGACTGGATTCTACACAGATAATATGACCTAGATGTGAAAAACAATGCAACATGCCTGAAAACAATGCAACATGCCTGAAAAGCAATGCAACAAGCCTGAAAAACAATGCAACATGCCTGAAAAACAATGCAACATGCCTGAAAAACAATCCAACATGCCTGAAAAACAATGCAACATGCCTGAAAAACAATGCAACATGCCTGAAAAACAATGCAACAGGCCTGAAAACAATGCAACATGCATGAAAAGCAATGCAACATGCCTGAAAAACAATGCAACATGCCTGAAAAACAATGCAACATGCCTGAAAAACAATCCAACATGCCTGAAAAACAATCCAACATGCCTGAAAAACAATGCAACATGCCTGAAAAACAATGCAACATGCCTGAAAAACAATGCAACATGCCTGAAAAACAATGCAACATGCCTGAAAAACAATGCAACATGCCTGAAAAACAATGCGACATGCCTGAAAAACAATGCAACATGCCTGAAAAACAAAGCAACATGCCTGAAAAACAATACAACATGCCTGAAAAACAATGCAACATGCCTGAAAAACAATACAACATGCCTGAAAAACAATCCAACATGCCTGAAAAACAATGCAACATGCCTGAAAAACAATGCAACGTGCCAACTGCTCTTGTAAAGGTGAATGCAGAAAAAGAAGAAGAAGAAAATGGTTTGCCATTTCCACAATATAGACTGCCTACGATGTACCAACTGCTATCTTTGGGAATCTCTTCTTCTTTGCCTTCACCGGCTTTAAATTCTGGCAGAATTTTCTGGTTGTTTGTCCAGTTCTGAACTTTGATCTTGTTCCAGAATTTAAGTGTTTTTTTTGCACTTGCATTTTTACAGACGTTACTTTTTTTATTGCAGACTTTTGATTCCTCAAATCTCAGGCAGATGTATTCAGGCTTTATATGAAATCCATAATTAGTTGCCTCTTATGACATGCTTGTTATGGAGCAGTGGGTCTTTTCTAATCACCCCCAATTGGGGCCCCAGAACCCACACAGGGATGTAATGATTAATTTTCTGTTAGTTTGCCATTGTTTACACAAGTTGTTTTATTAATCTACTTTTTCCTAGCTATAGCAGAATAATGAACAAACAACACAAACCCATTTAATTCATAACCAACAGTACCCCATCTGGGTACTAGGTCCCCACTGTGGGGAAAACAAGAAAAGACCCACTGTCTCCCCAGCAAGCATAGGAGTCGACCAATAGGGGGCATCTTTTGAAGTCAAGTATATCTACCTGAGAGGCAAGGGACCAAGAGTTTGCATGATGTGTGAAACGGATGTGCATGCAACACTCAGGTTCTGCAACAAGACTAAAGTCCAGAAGTGGACAAACAACCACAACTTTTCCCTGAAGTTTACAGCCGGTGAACGGGAAGAAGAAGAAGAAAATGTGCCTGACACAAACTCAACATTCGGTTTATTTTCTTATTTCCCTCTTTGTGGCAAAAGGTGGGGAAGGGGAGGGGGTGAAAACATTAGAACCACTGTCTCCCAACAAGCATGTAATAAAAGTAAGCTAATTATGGGTGTTTTCTTGAAAGTCATATCATAGTTCTTAAGTCTGAGAGGTGAGGAACCAACAGTCTGCACACCAATAAGCCAGAACTGTAAAATGGATGTAGAGGAAAAAACTCAAGTTTTGGATTAAAGTCTAGAAGTAGATTAACAGCTGGTGAATGCGAAAAAGAAGAAGAAGAAGAAGAAGAAAAAGAAGAGAAGAAGAAGAAGAAAAAGAATAAGAAGAAGCAGCATCAGCAGAAGAAGAAGAAGACTTTCTGTATTTATAAATCATATAAATAATTGACAGTCTTTCGTCTGGACCTCGGTACATTGTGAACTAATATTGTCTTTCTCCAGGTGGAGACAAGAAACTGGAAGGCGAGGCTTCCTACACTCTGGGGTTGGCTTATCAAAAAGCTAACAAGCTGGACACAGCGCAGTCTGTAAGTGGGGTTTACTTGTGTGAGCAGTCTGTTAAGTGGGGTTTACTTGTGTGAGCAGTCTATAAGTGGGGTTTACTTGTGTGAGCAGTCTGTAAGTGGGGTTTACTTGTGTGAGCAGTCTGTAAGTGGGGTTTACTTGTGTGATCAGTCTGTAAGTGGGGTTTACTTGTGTGAGCAGTCTGTAAGTGGGGTTTACTTGTGTGAGCAGTCTGTAAGTGGGGTTTACTTGTGTGAGCAGTCAGTCTGTAAGTCTGTAAGTAGGGTTTACTTGTGTGAGCAGTCTGTTAAGTGGGGTTTACTTGTGTGAGCAGTCTGTAAGTGTGGGTCTGTAAGTAGGGTTTATTTGTGTGAGCAGTCTGTAAGTGGGGTTTACTTGTGTGAGCAGTCTGTAAGTGGGGTTTACTTGTGTGAGCAGTCTGTAAGTAGGGTTTACTTGTGTGAGCAGTCTGTAAGTGGGGTTTACTTGTGTGAGCAGTCTGTTTACTTGTGTGAAGTCTGTGGGGTTTACTTGTGTGAGCAGTCTGTAAGTGGGAGTTTACTTGTGTGAGCAGTCTGTAAGTGGGGTTTAGTGAGGTCTGTAAGTAGGGTTTACTTGTGTGAGCAGTCTTTACTTGTGTGAGCAGTCTGTAAGTGGGGTTTACTTTGTGTGAGCAGTCTGTAAGTGGGGTTTACTTTGTGAGCAGTGAGCAGTCTGTAAGTGTGGGGTTTACTTGTGTGAGCAGTCTGTAAGTGGGGTTTACTTGTGTGAGCAGTCTGTAAGTGGGGTTTACTTGTGTGAGCAGTCTGTAAGTAGGGTTTATTTGTGTGAGCAGTCTGTAAGTGGGGTTTACTTGTGTGAGCAGTCTGTAAGTGGGGTTTACTTGTGTGAGCAGTCTGTAAGTGGGGTTTACTTGTGTGAGCAGTCTGTAAGTGGGGTTTACTTGTGTGAGCAGTCTGTAAGTGGGGTTTACTTGTGTGAGCAGTCTGTAAGTGGGGTTTACTTGTGTGAGCAGTCTGTAAGGGGGGGTTTTAGCAGTTGTGTGAGCAGTCTGTGTTTACTTGTGGAGCAGTCTTTGGGGGTTTACTTGTGTGAGCAGTCTGAGTGGGGTTTACTTGTGTGAGCAGTCTGTTAAGTGGGTTTACTTGTGTGAGAGCAGTTTCTTGTGTGAGCAGTCTGTAAGTGGGGTTTACTTAAGTGAGCAGTAGTGGGGTTTACTTGTGTGAGCAGTCTGTAAGGGGGTTTAGTGTGAGCAGTCTTGGGGTTTGTGTGAGCAGTCTGTAAGTGGGGTTTATTTGTGTAGTCTGTAAGTGGGGTTTACTTGTGTGAGCAGTCTTAAGTGGGGTTTACTTGTGTGAGCAGTCTGTAAGTTGTACTTGTGTGAGCAGTCTGTAAGTGGGGTTTACTTGTGTGAGCAGTCTGTAAGTGGGGTTTACTTGTGTGAGCAGTCTGTAAGTGGGGTTTACTTGTGTGAGCAGTCTGTAAGTGGGGTTTACTTGTGTGAGCAGTCTGTAAGTGGGGTTTACTTGTGTGAGCAGTCTGTTAAGTGGGGTTTACTTGTGTGAGCAGTCTGTAAGTTGGGTTTGGTGTGTAGCAGTCTTGGAGTGAGCAGTCTGTAAGTGGGGTTTACTTGTGTGAGCAGTCTGTAAGTGGGGTTTACTTGTGTGAGCAGTCTGTAAGTAGGGTTTACTTGTGTGAGCAGTCTGTAAGTGGTGTTTACTTGAGTGAGCAGTCTGTAAGTGGGGTTTACTTGTGTGAGCAGTCTGTTAAGTGGGGTTTACTTGTGTGGAAAGTCTGTTAAGTGGGGTTTACTTGTTGCAGCAGAATCTAGTGGTTGTCATGTTGTTAAAGGGAATGGATTCAAGAATTTACTAGTAAGATTTATAGAAAAAGAGCAAGGTTAAGGCAAAGAGATAAATACCTGGATGGCTTGGCCGTATGGATGGGACCAGACAAGAACACTGACCTCATCTGTGGTTTTGGGGATCATATGAAATGGAGAAACATGACAGTCTATGCCAGTGGTTCTGAATCTTCCTAATGCCGCCCCCTTTAATATAGTTGCCCATGATGTGATGACCTCCAGCCATAAAATTATTTTCTTTGCCTCTTTGTTATTATAAGGAATATGGGTGAAAGGGTCGTTTGACTCTCAAGGGGTTCTCAACCCACAGGTTGAGAAGTGCTGCTGTACGCTTTTTTGGCAGGGCACATGATGATGATGAATGATTGTCGTGAGCATATTTTTTTTTTTAAATAGAGAAGGGTGGTCAGTTGTTTTACTACAAGTTCAACTTATCGGCTGCTGAGCACTGGTATGTTTCACTACATGGCTGCGGACTGAACTGTGGAAATGCAGACATTGCTGGATAAATAGCAGCAAGAACAAGAACAAGGAAAGAACAACAGTAAATTCAAGGCCTCAGTTGTTACTGAAGTCAGTGCACTTACTTAAAAACCAATTGCCAGTTCAGGTCATGAGGAAGTTTCAATAAAGGCGGAGGGTAATTTTGAAACTGAGTGTGTTTGAACTTGTAATATTCAGGATTTTCAGCTTTGACAGTCATGAAAACAAAACAGCGCTGCCAGCTTCATGTGGTGAGTGATCGCCGTTGTGCCTTGTCCAGCATCAGACCAACAATAGGAGACCTCGTCAAGACAAAACAGTCTCAACCATCACATTGATATTTGGACACTCAATTACCCAGCTACTGGTGATTGTTTCTGTTCTTATTTGATACTGGGAATTATGTGCATGATTTTCTCTAAGTTCCTGTTAACGGTACTTGGGGTTTTTCTTATTGTCCTTTTCTTTTTTTGATCACTTTTGTTGAGGAGGAGGGGAGTGGGGGAGGGGGGGGTGCCATTTACCCCAAAAAAATGGGGGAGGGGGGGGGCTGACAGAGTTTGGAGACCACAGGCCTAAAGAAGAGGCAAAAGAGGAGAAATCTGCTTATATGTGAAAATACTATGCAACATAAATGGAGGAAGACAGAGGGAAAATGATGAGGAAATCTTAAACTGGAAGGGATATAAATAATTGGGATGTAAAGGCAGCCTGTGGATGATGACATCACCAACTGATGCTGATTGGTCTATAAGTGAGTTTAGCATCAGATGTCTGAGGCATCACTGGTGTAAAAATGGTTGTTCCTCCCACCCTCCATCCCTTTTTTTTTACATACAAATAATAATGTAGAAAGCACTAACTTCACTAAAATCTCAAAAGACAGGAAAGGTGGGGAGTTGTGATTGTTAAAGCTTGCAACAGACAAGGCACCTAAAGAGTAAAAGAAAACTGTGTTTGTAAATGCTTGTTTACAGCCAAGATTCAGTATTGATCCTTACTTTTTAGCTGCTGTTAAACTTCTATGAATCTTGTCAAGGAGACAGTAACAGTGAAGGTATTGGAAGAGCTTGTGATGCCATTGCCAAAATTTATGCCAGGTAATTGTTAACGTTAGATGCTGATTTCTCCTTGTGGGTTCTGCGACCTCATTATGGGGTAAACATGTATGGACCCACTGCCTCTGCAACAGGCATGTCATAGAAGTCTACTAATTAGTGGCATCCTTTACAGTTGGAGTGCGTCATCTATCCGAGAGGCAAGGAACCCAGAATTTGAAAACAAATGGGCCAAATCTGTTAAACAGAGGTGCACACAACACCTAGGTTCTGGAGCAAAACTAAAGTCGAGAGGTGGACGAACAATCAGAACTTTTCACTGCAGTTCACAGCCGGTGAATGCAAAAAAGGAAGAAGAGGCTTATATTTTAAAGACACTATTTTAACTTTTTTTCTGGATTTTATTTTATTTCACTTTCACAAATTTCACAGTGCTATGGCAGCTCCTTTTGAATTCTTTTCCCCCCCCCCCCCCCAATTATTATTTGTTCTTCCATCTGTACCTATACTGCTATCTGTGTCTGTATATTCATTACCATCATGTAGCAGGTTATAGAAGGTCACCCTAATTATTCATTCATTCATTCAGTAGCATGTCCCTCGCGGAACCTCGCTGCCATAACAACCCTCCGGAAAACCTTCCTATCATGAGCAAGATGTCCTGCGTCTGATACACCCATCTGGAGATCATCTGCCACATCCTGCACCCATCTTCTCCTTGGCCTTCCTCTTCCTCTCTTCCCAGGCAAATACCCCTCCATTATTGTTCTCTCTAGACCTCCATGACGTTTCAAGTGACCAAAATATTTTCAATTTTCTTTGTTTTATTGTCTTTACTAGCCAACCCTCTTCAATATTCAGCTCTTGAAGTATGGATGCATTTGTTCTTTTCTTTACCCAAGATATTCTTAGAACCTGTCTGTAACATTTATATTCAAATGCATTTATGCGCTGTTCCGCTTGTTTAGTAAGTGTCCAGGTCTCACAGGCGTATGTTGCAATGGGAAAGATGCATGCTCTTAAAAATCTGACCTTTGTAATTCTATCTGTACAATTCCATAATTTATTCAGTTGTTTTAGTCTTTGAAGAGCAATTGATAGTCGCCGTTTAATTTCTTTCATTGTGTCACCATTGTTGGTAACCAGTTACCCAAGATATTCGAAAGTTTCCACCACTTCCAATCTTTCCTCATTAACATATATTTCCTTCTCCATGGCAGTTTTGTTTGTATGCATTATCTTTGTTTTTTCTGTGTTAAGAAATAAGTTATGATTTTCACTATTTCTTTGGAGTAAGGTTAATAAGTTTTCTAAACCATTTTGTGATGTTGATAGTAATACTGTATCATCAGCATAACGAATTTCTGGTATTTCATGACCACCGATGTTTAGGGCATCATATTGTTCCTTGTTTATATCATCTCTTACATTTCTCATTATATTTTCGGCGTACAGGTTGAACAAATACGGTGACAGCACACATCCCTGACGGACTCCTTGCTTGATGCCAAACCAGTCTGATGTCTCTCCATCTATTCTGACTGCTGCTTGTTGGTCTTGATAGATCATTTTAATGAGCTGCACTATATGTGATGGAAAGCCCATATTCCTCATGATTTCCCAAAGCTTCTGATGTTGTACACATGATGTTGTACCCTAATTATAGCCTACAAAAAAAAAAATCTCTCACTGGCTCTCCCACCTTGCGCACCTTTTGACCCAAGGTTTCACTTATATCCTGGCCCATCTTCGTGCTGGTCCACCTCTGCCTCTATTTTCTGGTATGATGCCTTCTACTATTATTTTATTTTCTAGATGTTGTCTACTAGGCAATCTTCCTTGATGTTCAGATATTTTATGATATCAGTTTTTCTTTTATTCTTTGTCCATGGTATTCTAAGAATCTTTTTATAACATTTCAGCTTGAAAGCTTCTATTTTCTTCCTTAAGGACTGGGAGATGGTCCACAACTCACATCCATATGCTGCTATAAGGAAGATGCACACTCTCAATATTTCTACTTTGACTTCCTTGCTGGTGATTAACGAAAGTCATGATGCTTCTTAATCATTTTAATATATAATAATAATGTATTAAAATTATAAAATTGATGTGCAACAATTAAAACAGCAGTGTGTTGTATTCATAATGATCCTTTCTAACTCTCAGACAGGGCAACAAGGAGAAAAGTGTAGAGTTTTTAAAACGTTTTGTGGAGCTCACAGAAAAGACTGGATTGGAAAAAGAATATTGTTTGGCATGCCACAATTTAGGAAATGTCTGCAACTCTGTGGTATGATATTTTCTTTCATAGTGGGTTTAAAAAAAAACATACACACACAAACACTATTATGAGTTTATATTCAAATTATCAAAATGTACTCTTTACAAGTTCATAGCTGCCTGGTCATCTTCTTAGAATTTCTACAACTGAATGATGTATGATCACTCCAGCTAGGCGTTGGTTGGCTCACCAGTCTTTGTGTATCTTGGGTACGACCTTCAAGTCATGTGAGTTCCTGTTTGACTCCAATGTATCTGATCCTGATCAAGATCAAGGTCTCACTTGTGTCACTGAAGTCACTAGTCTCATCAAGATATTTAATGACTTCTTCTACATTTGCTTGGCCCACAAATGGACCTTCCAGTTACAGATCAGCCAAAGCAAGTTCTATCTTACTTCCTTGAACTCTGACATCAGACACAAAGAAAAAGAAATTGTTCAAACCATAGATTTCTATCCACAATAAATTAAAACATTGCCAGCTCATATTTCTGGATTGTATTTTCTGAAGCCTGTTTATTCTGACACCCTGTAAGTGTGCAATGAATAATCTGGTGGTGTCCTCAGTGATTCAGTGAGTATAATCTGGGGGTTCAGTCAGGTTCAGGCAGGTTCGGTGAGAAGGCAAATGGCTTGAGTCATTGCAGAAGTCCACTGTGCGTGAAGTCTCCTTTATTTTCATTCTGGGACACGTAGGCATTGATGGAAATAAAAGAGCTGATAGGTTGGCTGGATCCACTATCACTACAGACGATCAGCCTATGGGTCATTATTAATTCATTCATTCAGTAGCATGTCCCTCGCGGAACCTCGCTGCCATAACAACCCTCCGGAAAACCTTCCTATCATGAGCAATATGTCCTGGACTCTGATACATAGAACTTAATATTACCCTCCGCTGGGGTTTATACTGAGGGAGTTCTGGTCGATGGGGACTGTAGGGCAGTGAATCCACACTAACTCAACCCAGAAGCCAGAGACTTGGGAGAAGATCAGTGTAGTAAAAAAAAAAAAAAACAAGACACACACCAGTCACATCAGAGGACTTGTTAAGATAGAACTGATAATATTAGCCACCGGTTGCTGGGGTTTATACTGAGGGGAGGATCTGAGCATCTATGGGGATGTCTGTAGGGCTATGATGATAACCCAACTAACTAACTAACCAACCAACCAAACAAACCAACCAGCCAGCCAGCCAACTAACCAACTAACCAACCAGCCAACCAACAAACCAATGAACCAATCAACCAATGAACCAAGGAAAGAACCAACCAGCCAACCAACCAACCAACCAACTAACTAACTAACTAAGTCCTGCATTTCCAACCAGCACAGCTTAGCTATCACAACCAGCATTCTAAGGCTCTGTACACTCTGTTTCTTGGCCCCTAGTAATGGTGGCATGTCAGTGGACTGGATTGATGTGCTAGGCTGTTGATACAAACAACAAGTAACAGGTGGCATGTGAAGGGGTCAGAACACGGTAGCATTCTAAACAAACAAACAAAAGATAAATAAGAAAAGTCTGTAAACTGATCCCACACAGCAGAGGAACATTCTGTGTCAAGATTTGCCCTGTCAGACACTTACATAAATCCCACTCTGCTTGGTACATGAAAGGATGGTAATCATGACTTGTGATAGATGAACAACATCATTTCTTGAAGAAAGACCATGTGTTTCATTGGGTACATGACACTAGGTCAGTAGCGTCTGCCAGACTATTCAACCACCATAAATACTTGCTACATGTTGTCTGTATCGACATCCTAGTACATCAGTCCGACCCATTCATGCCCTGTCCTCAGCGTCTCCATGCCCAACGCATCCAGTAGATTTAACCGGCAGGTCTTCATTCTGTGTCCCACAACCGGTTTCTGCAGGCTTCTCCATGTTTAATACCCAGTTCCAACAGGTGGCTTATCTATCTGCGATGGAAAGATGGAATATCCAAAAAAGGTAAATGCCAGCATCTGCATAGCACATACCAAGGCTTGTGCCCGATTCCTCTTCAAAACTTGACACTGAAAAGCAGAACAGGACTAGAGAAGAAGAAGAAGAAGAAGAAGAGAAGGAAGGATCATCATTACTGACTCCTTTGTTTCAGTGTCTTTGAAACCGAGCGCATTCAGCATGTTTGTCCTGTCCATACTTCTTTCTCCACCATGCCAGTTTATCAACTCTTTAATTTCCTGTCATGGTGCTTTCTTTTTAGCTCACCACAAATGACATCACGGGACAGTCCAGTATTTTAGAGGGTGGCAAGAGTGGGTTTGCTGTGTTTTCTGTGCTTTAGCACGTTTCTTCCAAGGCCAAGGTTTTTTGCACGTTAACCTAATCCTAACCTTACCAAAACTATACGCTTAATTTACCACCCCCCTGAAATATATGACTGCTCCGTGACCTGTGGATTTCCTTTGTTTGTGGTCGGCAAAAAAGAAAGTACCCCTTTTACTCCTCAGCCACTATAAATAAAACTATAAACAAAATGGATTGATTGGTACTCATAGTATTTGTTAATTATTATATTATTTACAATTACTGCCATCCTTCATTATGGGGATGACAAATAATTGATTGATTTCAAATATTTTTTTCACGTGCTGAGATTTATATTCTGCCAGGGCAACTACGACGAAGCCACAGAATACTTCAGCAAAGCATACAATATTTCCCGGGCTCTCAACGACCAAGAATCAACGAACACTAACAGAGTGCAGTATGGGATTGCTATGGCTCACAGAATGATGGGAAAATTTGCTAACCATATTGTTGTGGGTGACAGCACATGCATGGTTCGCCTGCTGGACTGGAAGAGTGTGAGGACAGACGAATTTAACAAACAAATACCTGACACAGGTGAGTGGGATCCAATACATTTAACTACTTAAGTACTTCATTTCTAAGCAGTTATTATTTTAGTGGGAAATTGATGCGTATTTTTTTTGTGTGTATGCTTTATTTTTATGCCCCTCCTGTGGGTGTCAGTGTAAAGCCCTTCTAGTTATATTGTTCTTAAGTTTGCTCAGGCGGCATCCGTGGCTTAGGCGTTGCGAGTCAGACTCGTAATCAAACGTACCGCGATCAAAACCCACTGCTGGCTGCGTGGATTTTTATCATGGTATGGGGCGTCGCAGGTCGACCCAGCCTAAAATGGGTACCAGGATGGCTGTTCTGGGGAAGTAAAGACCGCCGGTGTAATGCTGACTACATTACCCACCCAGTGCCGATTGGTTTGTAAAAATATGGGACGCTCTTCCTATATTCAAAGCGCCTAAGGCGTGAAAAGAGATTTGTACTTTTATTTACTTAACTAAGTTTGCTCAGTGTATGTCCTATCCAACAACAGCATCTTTTCTTTAACTCTTGATTCTTTGGAATTTGTTTAGTTCTCTCCCAGAGCTCAAAATTAGTGATTCTGTCATACGATTTAACTCCCTCTGTTCTGCGCAGGCACCAGTGAATGAATGCCATGTTTATTAGTAACTGTTTTAGTTGTTCTCCGTGTTTCCGCTCTGTACAGCAGTACTGATTTGACATTAATAAAAACAGTTTTAAGACTGGTATTATTTTTACTTCCTTTCACTTCTAAAAATGTTCTGATGCTGTGAAAAGCCTCTTCCTTTTTGTACTTCAAAATTACATCATAAACCATATATAATGATCAGATCAGAGGACTTGAAAATGTATTTTAGGAACATTAATATGATGATTCTCAGGTCGACTCACCCTTGAGCAGGTAACGGGTGCAGTCTAACGAAGTAAAGGTGGCTGGCGTGATGCTGACCACATCACCCATCTTGTGCCAGTTGGTCTATAAAAATATAGGTCTAGCCCTATATGCCCCATAGGCCTGGGGAAGGATCTACAGAGTTTGTGCTTTGTTTGGCATTCTCAGCAGGCGACTAGCCATTCTACAAAGCGAGTTTTGAACCATATGGGATAAAACATGGTGCAGGAAAATTAGTCATCCCAACTTTAACTTTAACACATTACTTAAAATAGGATGTTTCCATTGTTTCTCTCTGCAGCCCCTGGTGCTGCCTATCACACGTTGTTGCCCCCACCTGTGGACCCAAACATGAAACGTCTGGAGATTATTATAGATGGTGTCAGTGAGGAAGAAGTGGACATCAACTTTAAAGATGAAGGAGAAGAATTACCAAGCAATGTTGTGTCAGCAGAATAGTTTATATCTGCTTCCTTTTCTTCTGCTTCTTCTGCTTCTTCTTCTGCTTCTTCTTCTTCTTCTTCTTTTTCTTCTTCTTCTTCTTCTTCATCTTCTTCTTTTTCTTCGTCTTCTTCTTCTTCTTCTTCTTCTTCTTCTTCTTCTTCTTCTCCTTCTTCTTCTTCTGCTTCTTCTTCTTCTTCTTCTTCTGCTTCTTCATCTTCTTAGCATTTACAGGCTGTCAACTGCAGTGGAAGGTTTTGGTTGTTTGTCCACTTCTGGACTTTAATCTTGTTTCATAACTTAGATTTTGCATAAATATCCATTTTACAGATCTAGCTTACTTGTAAGTGCACTGTTAGGTCTTCACCTGCCAGGCAGATGCTGTGTGTCTTTAAAGGAAACACCCCTGATTTGTTGCCTCTATTGACATGCTTGTTGGGGGTAGTGGGCCCTATGTTGTTGTTGTTTTTTTTTTTTGTTTTTTTTTTAAAACTGTAAATGGGAACCCAGAATCCACATGGGGGATAAAATAAAGGACATAAAATGGGGAAGTCCATCTTGGGTTACTCCCATCACCATCTATTTTACATAGTCCATGTCAAGACAAAAGTCCAGCAGTGGATGAACCATCAGAATTTTCCCAAGAGTTTACAGCCTGCTAGAGTGAAGAAGAAGCAGTTTAGTTTCCTAATAAGTTTTTTGCAACTGACCTAACAGGAAATAAATCACCATGAACCACATACTGATATGGAAACAATGACAATGGTGAAAAATGTGTTGTTTTTGTGTAGACAAAATTTAGTCATGTGATGCAGAAATGTATGCTGTGATTTCATACACAGGTGATAGTTGCTAATAGTGGTTTTACAAAATAACATTTGTGACAGCATGTTTTTGAATTTTTTAATCATTACATTTTTTTTTAAACACTATTGAGAACCTGAAAATGAATTCAGAAACAATGTGACTTTTCTTCATTCATTTGTCATGTTGTATGTGTTCAGTTGTGCTGTTAAATAATTATCCTATATTATGTTTGATTTGACTTATAATGAGTTCAGTTATAACTTTTCTTTCTTTAACGTTGATCGGTTTAAAATATGTTTTTATTCTGTAGGAGGGTCAGGGGATTAGTGAGATAGACACACAATCAGACTGTTATTGGTTCTATCAAAACTGGAATTCTGTGATGGCTGTGGATGATGTGGATCGGGCACTTATGGGAATGTCCTCAGTGTTTTGATATTGATTCTTGACTCATAACTTCCCCATTTGGGTTCCAGGGCCACATTGTGGGGAAAACAAAAATAGACGCACTGCCTAACCCCCTCCCTCCCCCCCCCCCCCAAAGCATGTCGTGAGAGACGACTAACTGGGGGCTTCCTCTGACGTTACCGAATGCATGCTAATAAGCCAGTATGGATGTACACGCAAAAATCAAGCCCTGCTACAAAGCCAAAGTCCAAATGGACGAACAACCAGGACTTTTTGCTGGTGAACAAAGAAGAAGAATGTACACGCAAAAATCAAGCCCTGGTACAAAGCCAAAGTCCAAATGGACGAACAACCAGGACTTTTTGCTGGTCATTAAAGAAGAAGAATGTACACGCAAAAATCAAGCCCTGGTACAAAGCCAAAGTCCAAATGGAGGAATAGCCAGGACTTTTTGCTGGTCATTAAAGAAGAAGAATTTACACGCAAAAATCAAGCCCTGGTACAAAGCCAAAGTCCAAATGGACGAACAACCAGGACTTTTTGCTGGTGATTAAAGAAGAAGAATGTACACGCAAAAATCAAGCCCTGGTACAAAGCCAAAGTCCAAATGGACGAACAACCAGGACTTTTTGCTGGTGATTAAAGAAGAAGAATGTACACGCAAAAATCAAGCCCTGGTACAAAGCCAAAGTCCAAATGGACGAACAACCAGGACTTTTTGCTGGTCATTAAAGAAGAAGAATGTACACGCAAAAATCAAGCACTGCTACAAAGCCAAAGTCCAAATGGACGAACAACCAGGACTTTTTGCTGGTGATTAAAGAAGAAGAATGTACACGCAAAAATCAAGCACTGCTACAAAGCCAAAGTCCAAATGGACGAACAACCAGGACTTTTTGCTGGTGAACAAAGAAGAAGAATGTACACGCAAAAATCAAGCACTGCTACAAAGCCAAAGTCCAAATGGACGAACAACCAGGACTTTTTGCTGGTGAACAAAGAAGAAGAATGTACACGCAAAAATCAAGCCCTGGTACAAAGCCAAAGTCCAAATGGACGAACAACCAGGACTTTTTGCTGGTGAACAAAGAAGAAGAAGACGTCACTGAAAACTCTTCTCTAGCATGTCACACAGAAAGGTTAGCAGCCAGGTTAGAGAACCAATATTCAGATGAGAACTAATCAGGTTCTATTCCCCAGAACAATGGTGCAGTTATCCATATATTTTAATGAATGCAAATTCAGTTGGGCACAAAATATGATCCAGAAATAATCTTCTTCTTCTTCTTCGGCATTCTGAGCCCTTGAGGTTCATTGCTGCAGATATCACCCACCTCCATTCATCTCTCTAGTTGGCCTTTTCTTTCCAGTTGAAGATACCAAGTGTTTGAGATTTGTCTGGATATTATCCACATGTGTACAGTTTTTACCTCTCTGTCACATGCCCGGCTCTCTAGCATAGTTGGCTAAACTGGATTGCGCGGAGACTGGGTGATGAACTCCTTGTGGTCCGGGTTCAATCCCGGGTGTAGGCAGGAAAGCCACACTTTCTCCCAGATTTACAGTATTTACAATGGCATCAAGGCCGAAAGGTTGCAATATCCATAATACCGAGCCTAAGGGTTAACAACTCATGGCTTCTGGATACTAAAACAAACAAACAAACAAACCTCTCTGGCACCAGAAATTCTCTTAATGAGCCCCAGCCATTTCAGTCTATCAGATCTCATGATGACAGTGATCAGTGGTGATTTAAACAAATTATGAATTTCATTGTTGCTTTTCACTCTCCATTCTCCACTGTTTGCATCTGTGATGGGCCCAAAGATTCATTATAAGACTGTTTTTGAACAGACTTCATCTCTTTTAGGTGTGCTTCAGTTACAGAGCCATATAAAAAACTGATCTAACTAATATTTTATCTTTGTGTTGCGAGATAGAGACTTCAACTTTAGCAGATGTTGAAGGGCATAGTATACTTTATTTCAGTATTGTATTCTAGACTGTATTCTCTCGGCATGTTGGAGCAGCAACAAACATCAGATACTCGACGATCAGAGGAAAGGCAGGACTGACATATAATCAGGCTGCTACTAGTACCATTGGTATTGGAACTCTGTGCTGGCTGCTGAAGTTGGGGACAGAACACTTATGGGAATGCTCCAAGTGCTGTAATGTCAATTCTTGAATTAACTCATCTCATTGGTATCTTTCTGTCTTTCCAAATGATAGGGTTCCAAGGTGCTATAAGAAAGTATGGGCCGGAATCAAATCCTACGACAATGAGTCCAACAAGAGCTCATCCACAATAAGTGCATGACATTTCAGTACCCATCACATTAATTTCACATGTTTCTTCTGAGATGCTTGGCTCTTAACCTGTCTGCAATCCTTTTCTACTTTGTCCCATCTATCTCAAGAGAATGGCTTCTGTGGCTTAGGCCGGGGTGCAGGGTTCAATTCCACGGCAGAAAGTTTGGCAGCAGAACGTCTTGCATTGATTTTGACAATGATACCGGGAGCTAACCATTTAGAAAGCAATAGCAAACTACTGAATGCAAATTTGCTTAGAAAAACCACAACAGCAACAAAAATGCTGGTGTTGGTTCTTCAACGTCCTGTAATGGATACGCAACTAACTTTACTTATAACAGCAGTTTCAAGGAGTGAACAGCCAGGACAAAGGAGAGAGCTTTGCTGGGAATCCATTGCAGCCAGTTTTTATTGTCTCAAGTGCTGGAGATCTGGAGTTCAGCCCCCGGTGAAGGCTGGGATATTTACCTGGACTTCTAGCAATTTCTAGTCTCTTAGTAATAAGATCAGAGGCCTGTGCGTATTGTTGTGCACATAAAAAATCCCTTCTTCTTCTGCTGCTGCTTTTTCACCTTGTACCTCACTGAAAAGGGAGGGGGGGGGGGTGTAACGCAGTTGGAGATCAAAAAGAGTAGACTAACGACGCCGCCAGGGCAAAAATTTGAGTTTAAAATCTACCCAAAGTATTTCAGGATCATCGCCTGTGCTACGGGGTTAGTGCACTGCGCTGAGATTCTCTGCACTCAGGCTTGAATTAGAAGTAAAACGGAGCACTAATGGGTTACCACTTTGTGCCATGACGTTCATGCATTGTTTAAACAGAAACAGATTCTCTAGTACTGTGCTGAAGACATCTATTTGATTAACTGAGGATGGTAGATTGGTTAGATTGTAGAATGAATAAACAAGTGAATGAACCAAATTAACTTTTAAAGGGTTAAGAATTAGGCACATAGCTACCCTATAACATAGTCTGAAACGTAGGTTGTTTGGTAGGTAGGCTTTGTTTTTTAAAAAAAGGGCAGGGGGGGATTGTAATCATGCAACAAAGACTGATGGAATGTGAAAATACAACAACAAATATGACACTAACACTAACTACTTGGAAGTCAAATTTATTTTAGAAAAACATCTTACCAAAATGTTATAGAGTAAATAAATGTGAACTGTGGTAAAAATATAAGAAACAAAATTTATGAGCATGGGGAAAAAAGCCTCAATATGGAATGTATTTTTTATGTATGTAGAATTACAAAATGGCTATTTATTTGTCATTCAGAAGTAATGTTTTAAAATCTGGCCATAACCGATCACCTTCACCTTGCTGGGAAGTTGCATCTTCTTCTTTTGTTGTCACACTGTTACCTGGTTGTAATCATGGTTTTATGCAGAGTCTCGTCAACTTGTTCCATCTAAAAGGTCGTAAACTGAACTAATCCTAAGTTGAATTGATATTTTGTGGCACTCTTCTTTTTCAAATGGGTTTTAAAGTACTTACATGAAAACAAAAAAATTCATTTTATGCACGTGTAATTATTATACATAATATGCTCTAGGTATCAGCTCTGAAACTTTTATAACCTTACTAGTTTAGTTATCTTTCTTTCTTAACTTTTTAAAAAGTTTATTATTTTTTTATTAATTTATTTATTATTTGTGGTTGTAAGTACAGATGGTCATCAACACAGATGTCCGAGTCGAGGATAATATGTATTTGTCTTGCGCTGCAGGATTCAGCTAATTCCTAATTAGTTGCCATGCTTTGTTTCATAGATTAAGTACATGATCTTTTTTTTTTTTTTTTAGGCGGTGATGGGCCTATTCTTTCCCCCTCCCCCTAAATGGGATCCCAAAACCCTAATGAGAAGTCTGCTAGTTGTGGGTCATTGGGCTCTGACTGCAGTTCGGAGAAAAACAGACAAGACAGTTCCTGGATGAAATGGCGCGATGCCGGTTGTCGCAATGTTGGTGGGGCCATTATGTGATTAAAATTGATCGCGTGTGCAACTGCTGATCTGTTGGTGACTTCTGCTACCGTCAATGATAAACTGCATTTCTAATGTCGGACTGTTTGTGTTAGCATTTCTGATGGCTACCGTATGTTTTTAATGCGTGTGTATGCTAGATTTCCTGAGGCAGCAGTCTGTCAATCTTTCCACAAGGGACTGTGATAAACATTCTGTTTGTTTTTCATTGTCACAGGAGCGGAGCAACTATGCGGTGACTCGTTTGCTATGAAGCTGAAACTAAGATTACCAGTTCCTGGATTTTATGTGTGTGTATATATATATATATATATATATATATATATATATATATATATATATATATATATATATATATATATATATATATATATATACACACACATAAGAAGAATTATATATATATATATATATATATATATATAATTCTTCTTAGCGTCCGGTTTCGTATGTTCAGGTCAGAGAGTCAGGCTGGTTGACTCTGTGAATTGGCATGTCAGTTGCAGTTCCCTCGTGGTTTCCCATCCCTTCATGTCCACACTTTGCTCTTGAGGCCAGGTGTCTCCATAGTTGAGAGTAGAGTAGGCATATGAGTTTAAATATCTAATTTATAAAAAATTGTTTACAAACTGATTATAAGTTTTAAATATGTAAAATATCTCTACAAGATGCCAGGGCAACAAACGTTACTGTAGGAGGAACTTATTGGGCGGTTACTTCAGGGACATCTGTGGAGTCAACAGAAATATGAAATAGTTACAAGAAGTCTAGGTTCTCTTCTTTTAATTCACCTTATCTCGGGAGATCCGAGATTTCATAGGGAATTCTCGGGAAAGCCCAACATTATGTTTGGGGGGGGGGGTTTAGTGTTAGTCGGTGTTCATTTCAACACTCTAACACCCCTATAGTAATAAACTTTCCTGGGAATCGCCTATGAAATCTTGAAGCTCTGAGATTAGGTGAACTGAAAGAAAAGAACTGAAGTCTAACACCCCAGGAGAGCTTGCATGCTGGAGACGCATCCTAAAATGAGTACCATGTAAAGTCCTGGGAAGTAAAGGCAGCTTGCTCGATGCTGACGTTGTCCACCTAGTAACGATTGGTCTCAATAAAATTTAAAAAAAGAATCTAGCGTCATATGCCCCATTTACTTTTTTTAATGGACAGTGGTCACGTTCAAGGAAACATCCAGGTTTAAACTATGTCAAGAGCCAGGGGCATCTTAACAGCGTTATGGGCTCCTGGGCAAAACTGGTTTAGGAAAAATGTGGGTTATATAATGGCGGTTTTATATTACACAGGATTAATTTTATTTATGGCAAGTAACTTTACATATACATAATAGCATGGGGCCACAGTGGTTGTAGGCCTCCCTGGCATGTGCCCAATGGGCCTGTGCGTTAAGACGACCTTGTCAAGAGCTTGTGTTTGAATCCACACAGTTTGGTCCCTGGTAAGTCCAGTTAAAAAAATGGGTACAACGTAATGTATTGGGAGGTTTGATCCCAACTGCGAGCCATGCGCCTTGCGTTGGTTTCGACAGTGATATCAGGGAGCCGACCATCGAGAAAGCAATGGCAAACTACTGGACGTAAATTTGCCTAGAGAAACCATACAACAGCCAGGGGGCTGCTGGGGTTGGTTTTGCAACGTCCTGTAAAGGTCGGCTCTGTGGCTAAGTCGAAGCGAATGCTTCGGGATGCCGGGTTCGATCCAAGGTAAGGGCCATGCGCCTTGCGTTGGTTTCGACAGTGGTATCAAGAAAGCCGACCGTCCTGAAAGCAATGGCAAACTACTAGACATAAATTTGCCTAGAAAAACCACACAATAGGCCAGGGCTATTGAGGTTGGTTATGCAACGTCCTGTAAAGGATACGCAACTAACCTTAATGTAATGGGAAGTTAAAGCGACCGATATGAAGTTGACCATATTACCACTCAAGGACCAGTTCTATGACAAAATGGTTCTAGCATTAAATGCTTTTGATCCCTGCCTGATGTGACTCAGGTGACTTTGTAAGCTTATTGTTGAACAGGGCTTACAGGGATTTGTTCATGTAGGATTCTCGTTCTTGAGGTGTCAGCTCTGGAGGGGATCAGCTACAGCATCAACTACATGCCTCATGCGCCAGTGGCAGGAACAAGGTCCTTTTCTTTAACGTTACTTCTTCTTATTCTTTCTTTTCTTCTTCTTCTTCTTCTCCTCCTCCTCTTTCTTCTCCTCCTCCTTCTTCTTCTCCTTATTTTTTTCCTTTTTCTTCTCCTCCTCCTTCTACTTCTTCTGCCTTTTAGCGTCAGGTTTTAAAGAATCATCATGTGTGAGCCCTGTCTTTACAGCGTCGATGCTTCTGCTCAGTCCATGCTTCTTGCCACATGCATTGGTGCTTTGCTTGCATGAGCATACCCAAACAGATAAACATTTATTTGTATGAATAATAAGCATGTTATAAACACCATCATATACAGAAATAAGAAAAGAGTAAGTTAAAAATAATTTACCGTCTTGTACGTAACGACAGATGCCATTGTCAGGAACAGTAACACAGATGTGGTCACGGCTCCATGTGTAAGTTTTAGTTTGTTTACAATCTGGGGGAAAATATGTGGGAAAAATTAAACACCTCTTTTACAGGCAATCGGAAAAATCCAAGACATAAGAGTCAGACGTTTTCAACGGAAGGAAATGCTGAATTTGATAACAACCAAGATAGGAATAGTACAAGTGAAGAGAATGGCGGTGAAAATAGGTTTCACATGGCTGGGATGAAAGGGCCATTACAAAGAGTGTACCGAGTGACTTCATAAGTATGATCTGGTGGTGGGTCGAGATAGGCTCTGTAAGCAGGCAGTGGTCTGAATCAATGCAAAAGTCCACCTTGCGTGGAGTTACTTCGATCTGTGTCCATGCGTGTATTGCTGGCAATGAAAGAGCTGTTAGTCGGACTGGTTCTGCTTTCTTTGCAGATGGCCAGCCTGTTGGTTTGGTTATTTACAAGCTCTGTGTCTTGTCCGTTGAGTTTTCCAGTCACAGATTGTGTTGTATTTAGTCAGTAGCACGTCCTTTGCAGAAGCTTGCTCCCCCCCCCCCAAAAAAAAAAAACCTCCGGAAAACTTCTCGATCACAAGCAAGATGTCCCGCGTCCGATACACCCAGCTGGAGATCATCCAGCCATATCCTGCACCCATCTTCTCTTTGGCCTTCCTCTCTCTTCCCAGGCATTTACCCCTCCATTATTGTTTTCTCTAAACTTTTGTGATGTTTCAAGTGACCAAAATATTTCAATTTTCTGTGTTTTATCATCTTTAATAGCCAGCCTTCTTCAATATTCAGTTCTTGAAGTATGGTTGCATTTTAACCAAGATATTCTTAGAACCCGTCTAAAACATTTGTATTCAAAGGCATTTATGCACGGTTCAGCTTGTTTAGTAATTGTGCAGACCTCACAGGCGTATGTTGCAATGGGAAAGATACTTGCTCTTAGAAATCTAATTTTTGTCATTCTGTTTGTCCCACTCCCTAATTTATTCAGTTGTTTTAGTTTTTGAAGAGCAATTCTTAGTCCTCGTTTAATTTCTTCCATTTTGTCACCTTTATTAGTGATCAATGATCCAAGATATTCAAAATTGTCCACCTCTAATGTTTCCTCATTAACATATATTTCTTTGTCCATAGTAGTTTCATCTATTGTTGTTGTATTTAGTGAGTAGATATCCCTTGTCACGCCTTTAGTTGCATCGGGCATATGGAAAGAGTACCCATATTTTTTTACAGACCAATCGGCACTGGGTGGGTAATGTGGTCAGCATTACGCCGGCCGTCTTTACTTTCCCAGGACATACATCCTGGTACCCATTTTAGACCGGATCGACCTGCGACGCCCTATACTACGATAAAAATCCACGCAGCCAGCAGTGGTTTCGATTGCGGTATGTTGGAATTACAAGTCGGACTCGCAACGCCTAAGCCATGGACGCCAGTTGTAGTTAGTACTCTATTAATAAAGATTTTAGTCACACCGTTCAGTTGTATTTATGCGCATCTTTCACACCCCATCTGTGAACTGTCTAGTTATATTTTATGTTGTAGTTAACATTTTGTGTCGTCACTATAAAAAAAAAAAAAGGAAGATTGCTATAGAAAGCATTACTTGTCTGATAGTAATCGCTGATTGTATAGGATCTCGGCTTGGCGTCAGTGAGAGCATCGTTTGTTTTGTACATCTTGATAGTTGCCGTGAGTCCCTTGGTGTTAATCTGTAATTATAAAAACCACAAAATTTGAAAACGGCAACAGAGAAATATATAAGAATATCAAATCAAAATTTATTAAACTTAGCAGCATTTAAAGCCATTACATAATAAGGACAGGTTCACACTAGAAGAAACAGACAATGAAAGAAAGAGAAGAGAAGATTAAAACAATAGAAATTGTTAGTTAGTTAGTCAACAGAGTATCCTCATTGCACGTCGAACCACTCAGTCCATAAGTGCTCTGATCCCCCCTCAGTAAGTCCCGCAGCGTTTAGCGGCTCATGACACCAGTCCTATGTTGGTTCTTATTCTTCTCTGGCCTCCTTCATAGTAATCTGGTAATCTCAGTTTCAGCTTCATAGCAAACGAGTCACCCCATAGTTGCTCCGCTCCTGTGCCAACGAAAAACACACAGAATGTTTATCACAGTCCCTTGTGGAAAGATTGACATACTGCTCTCTCGGCATATGTACTAGCATACACACGCATTAAAAGCATACGGTAGCCATCCTTCATAGTGCCCGTGTCTGGTCACACCCGTTTTAATATGTTGTTCTTGCAGTCTGGTCGTGGTTGAGGATTCACAGTCACTACTTGCTTCTCGCAAACATCTCACGTCTCGTAAAGCATTCAGTTTATCAGCATGGTCCATAGCATGACTGTGCACTACAGTAGCACAGATAAAAGAAGTAAAAGACTCAAGAATGAAAATATAAAAAAAAGGGGGGGGGGGGGTTAAGGGGGGTGGGGTCAGTAAACATACAGTTGGTGGTAGAATTTACAACCAGTAACAGATAATGCAGTTAATGAAGGACTGTACAGAATGTGTCCAAAACGAGAAGAAAAATCTATAAAAAAAACTATCATTAAATTGATAGGGAAACCACCAGCCCCAGCAGACTACTATTCTATTATGAACAGATAAGAACACGTCGTTATTCTTCGCCCCATAACAGGGCACAACCGAGTGCATAACCACATGTACACAAAATTCAAGATCAGCCAGTTGCAGTTGTGGAAAGTTGCTCCAGACAGCAGAACATGTACTCCAGGTCTGCACCGAATATGACCTGCCTTTTGGCCAGAAAGAACAACAGTGGAACATAAACTCTACGGACCACTGAATGAACCATAATGAACCACAATAACACTGAAATTGCTGATACAGACAACTTATTTCAAGCGATTGTTTGAAAAAAGCTTATGAAAGTAGATCTCTATTTACAACAAGAAGGAGAAAAACACTGTTCATTGGCCACGTGATGAGAAGAGAGGCATTGGAAAACATTGTGACAACTAGAAAGATCAGTGGAAAGAAAGGTAGAGGCAGACCAAGAGAGAGATGATGCTGGATGGACTGAAACGATGGCAAGGAGGGATATCATCAAGAGAGCTGATCCAGGCAACCAGAGTCGTGATCTGTGGAGATGCTTGAGCGCCTACGCCAACTGGCAGGGCATGTGATGATGATGACGATAACGATGATTTCAGACGAACGAAAGAAGAAGAAGAAAATAAAAGTAAAAGCACCTCTTCCACGCCCTTAGGCGTATTAGGTATACAGCGCTAGACCTATATTTATAAAATTACAATCGGCACTCAGTGGTTGATGTGGTCTAAAACACTTTGGCTGCCTTCACTTCCCATTGTTTTGCCTGGTACCCATTTGAGGATGAGTGGACTTGTGAATAAAAACAATTTTGAAAAAAATCATATTCAATGCGAATGTAAACTCACGACCTTAGGAGCCGCAGGCAAACGCGCAGCCTACACACCACGTCTTTCCCCATCAGATACATATAGTACAAGATCAATATATCGCAAACAAAGACAGTAAAATAAGACAGCAAAAGGTAAAGACAGTATATGGTTGGATAGTTGTTAGCTAATATTTTTTTTTTTGTTAAATCCAGTGCACCACTATTCAGGCCGTTAACAATTGTACTACTTTAGTCTACAAACGAAAACAATACAACATACCACTCCACTGTCATAGTAAATAAACACAGTATCTCCATTGAAAGGGTCCACTCGGCTGACATTGTCATTCTGACCCACCTCTTCCACAAGAATGGTGTAACCTGCTGGGATTTGAACTGCTAGGATACTCATGCTGGTTACCTGCGCATTAGAAAACATCAATTGTGCAATTTGTTCCAATTAAATTAACTTATAAGTGAAGAATTAAAATATGTTAGTTGTAAATACTTAGAACCTGCAAACACTTGGTGTTATCAACTGGAAAGAAAAGGTTAACCAGAGAGATGAATTGAGGCGGGTGATATCTGCAGCACTGAACCTCGAGGGCTCGGAATGCTGAAGAAGAAAAAGAAGAATCTAGAATTACAGTGCCTTCTTCAAATTTTAAAATATCTTATTTGTCCAGTCAGCAGTCTCTTGCCCTAGATTGGTCTATTAAGACACCTCCTGAATATACAAGTCGTCCCCTTGTGGGATGCAATTTTTCGTTATTTGAAGCCCCACCCTGGCTTCTGCCGGGAGCTCTGAATATAAACTGGGGCATAGATTTGGCCTAACTACTGAAAGGGGTTTCTGGAATCTCTACAGTAATCCTCATCCGCATGGTGGCACTTATGTCACCGGGTGTTTATAACTTGTGTGATGTCCTGGTGGGGTACAATGAGAGAGAGAGAGAGAGAGAGGGAGAGGGAGAGAGAGAGAGAGAGAGTGAGAGAAGACACCTCCTAATACACAGTGTTGCCCAAAGTGACCACTGACCCTAAATTTTTCCAAACAGCAACATGGGATCCCACCTTCAAACTCACCGATAACAATATAGCCCTTAGTAACAATGATGAACAAATGTAATAACAATACAAAAAATCTAAAATCTGAGCCATACTGTTTTGGTCACGTTACGCGACATATTGTAACACAGGGCAAGGCGACCGATAACAATATAGACCTCTGTGACAACGATACACAAACAACAAAACAATAAAACAGAACGTCTAAAGCCTGAGCCATACATTGTTGGTCACAGCTGCAACGTTGATAGTCAGTGTCAGGGAGTCAGCGGTTTTGGTCACGGTATGTGACGTGTTGTAACACAGGGCAAGGGGCTCCTCTTTCACATTAAAGTCCAGACTAACCTGTGGGATACAATAGCTAGTATTACAAGCAGAAACAATGTACACTCAGTACTCATTAATACTCATAATAAATGATTTTTAAATATACCCGATCAAAGAACTATATGAATTGTCAATAATCATAAACATACTTTGATCGATCACCATCACCATAAATATACTTTATCAGTCAACCTAAACATACATGGTCAATAGTCATAAACATACTTTGATTGATCACCATAAATATACTTTACCAATTACCATAAAAATACATGGTCAATAGTCATAAACATACTTTGATTGATCACCATAAATATACTTTATCAGTCAACCTAAACATACATGGTCAATAGTCATAAACATACTTTGATTGATCACCATAAATATACTTTATCAGTCAACCTAAACATTCTTTGATCGATCACCATAAATATACTTTATCAGTCAACCTAAACATACATGGTCAATAGTCATAAACATACTTTGATTGATCACCATAAATATACTTTACCAATTAACATAAAAATACATGGTCAATAGTCATAAACATACTTTGATTGATCACCATAAATATACTTTATCAGTCAACCTAAACATACATGGTCAATAGTCATAAACATACTTTGATTGATCACCATAAATATACTTTATCAGTCAACCTAAACATTCTTTGATCGATCACCATAAATATACTTTATCAGTCAACCTAAACATACTTTGATCGATCACCATAAATATACTTTATCAGTCAACCTAAACATACTTTGATCGATCACCATAAATATACTTTATCAATCAACCTAAACATACTTTGATCGATCACCATAAATATACTTTATCAGTCAACCTAAACATTCTTTGATCGATCACCATAAATATACTTTATCAGTCAACCTAAACATTCTTTGATCGATCACCATAAATATACTTTATCAGTCAACCTAAACATACATGGTCAATAGTCAGAAACATTTTTTGATCATAATAAATATACCTGATAAGTCAACACAGATATAAGTGGTGAATAATCATAAATATACTTTGGTCTATCATAATAAATTTGCTTGGTCAATGAGCATAAATATACTTTATCAGTAATCACCAGGTCAGATTTAGACTAGATGAGGCCCTGAGCTGTACAAAGCCCTGAGAACCTACCGTTTCAAATTACTTCAGTAAATCTCAGAAATTATGCATATTTGCTCTGGCAACTTAGAGATGTGAATAATGGACGCTGATTTAGTATTTGTAGAAGAAAATCAGAGCTTTTGAACTGAAATGCTACAGAAAAATTCTTCAGATACTGTGGACCAAGAAAAAGGGGAAAAACACGTCGACAGCCCATGCTACCTACGCACTCTGTAAACTGAGGTGTTTGGGACATGGCGAGCCCCATGATGGTCTTTGGAGAACGTTGATGGAGGGTGTAGTTTCTGGAAAGCGAGGCAGAGACGGACCACTCCGAAGATGGATACAGGACATGGCAGATGGCTTTGAAATCACACACTGTTGGAGAATTGGTTAGCGAAAGAGAGACTTTCATGCTTTCTGTGAAGACAGCGACGTTCTGCAAAGACCATGCTGACTGGTTGACAGAGTTTCAGAAAACAGGCAGTGACAAAATATAACTGCCTGTTAAGTATATGGATAATAGAAATATACTGTTGTTGTTTTTCTGATCGCCAATATATGCATTTTCAAAACTAGAATTTTTCTTTACCCCAATACATTTTCCAAACTAGGGCTTTTCTATTCATTAATGCAGTTTCAAAACTATAATTTTTCTTTTCCCCAATACATTTTCCAAACTAGAACTTTTCTATTCATCAAAATGCTTTCTGAAAACTAGAATTTGTCTTTTCCCCAATACATTTTCCAAACTAGAACTTTTCTATTCATCAATGCTTTTTGAAAACTATAATTTTTCTTTTCCCCAATACATTTTCCAAACTAGAACTTTTCTATTCATCAATGCTTTTTGAAAACTAGAATGTTTCTTTTCCCCAATAAATTTTCCAGACTATGACTTTTCTGCTTACCAATACTTTGTCCAAATAGGGAATTTTGGCTCTCCTTTAAATGTCGGTCGCTAGCTGGAAGGCGACGGTCGCTTAGTCGGAGTTCACTCCCTTGGCTGCATTGCAAATACGGAGTGGTAAAGAGGTAACGAAACAAACGGCATACTTACCTGTCATGCTACGGTTGCTTAGGGTTAGGCTAGGCTTAGGGTTAGGGTGTGGGTTAGGGTTTGGGTTAGGGTTTAGGTTAGGGTAACACATGTAGCGTCGAGTAATTACCTATAATAACGGCTGTTATATGTGAACATTTTCTTGTTTTTGATTCGTGACTTGTCCACTCCGTATTTGCACTGCAGCCAAGAGAGTGAACTCCGACTAAGCGACCGTCGCCTTCCAGCTAGCGACCGTTATTTAAAGGAGAGCCGGAATTTCTATTCACCACTCTAATGACCAAGTCATGATCTGTGTAATCACCTCAACACTTAGCAAATATTTACTTTTCTAATTACTACTTTTTTAACAAGATTATAATGTTTCTAAAAAAATGGACACTTACAACAAGAAGTATTGTGCTGGGTCCTGGCTGTCCGTCATCGGTGTTTGCAGTCAGAAACAGGGAGGTTGGCGCTTTTTTCTGCGACAGACACCCAACATTTGTATTATTGATGTAATAACACGTGACACATTAGGGTCAACTTAATTATCTAATTTGTAGAACCAGTGAGAAAAAAAAAAATCCTATCCTTGTCGGATGAGCCCATGGGGCCATTGATATAACAGGAATCATTTATTCGAATGCAATAATAGGCATTTGTAAAAAATGGTTGATTTGGGCTCACAAGCAGCCATTTATTCATTTAGCGATCCAGAACAACAGAACATATCAATGAATTAGCTTGTATTACTTCAGTGAGAGGAAGAGAGATAGAGCGACAGCGAGAGAGAGAGAGAGAGAGAGAGAGAGAGAGAGAGAGAGAGAGAGAGAGAGAGAGAGAGAGAGAGAGAGAGAGAAATACTGAGAGACAAAACAGAATCGACTTCATTTCATCGGGTTTGATCCCATATTACTCGATCTCTCTCCGCATAATGACTAGCCGCCTACAAAGAGCATCACACAAAGCACGAACATACTAGCTTCGGCGACGATTTAAAGGGCTCTCCGTAAAATGTTGCAGCAAGAATGCCCTAGTTCCCAGGACAATGCAGTCTTGAGTGCCTACCAAGTATAGTGCTGAAAAGTAAAAGCAGTCGGCGTGATATTGACTTAACTGACATTCGATTGGTCTTTACCTATAGGTTTAACTCTATATGCCCAATACGCATAAAGGCGTGGAAAAGTGTCGTTGTTGTCATGACAGCTTCACCGTTTAATGGGGATCCTGCGAATGAGCTAACACGCCTGGAGGCTTCAGATCATTCAAAGGAGTCTCTCGTCCAGGAATAATTCAACCCATTCACTTATAAAACTCTCTGGGGTGAACCCACCGAATCATGAGCTGGGGTGTCTGTCTCTTGCTGTGAAGATGAATCCTTGGCCAACATAAGTATGTAATTAATGACAAGGGTTCCTTGATTTTGTCGTTACACGTCTTCACTCAAAAGGTAAGATGTCTTCACTCAAAAGCTAAGACGCCTTCACTCAAAAGCTAAGACGCCTTCGGGAAGGCATATATCCTGTATTCGATGCTTCGTTGTCGTTCCAACCAATGAGTAACTTGTCCGGTAGTGAGCCATTTTCTCTCTCTCAGCGTCTGAGCCTCCATCGCCACACCGACAATCGTTTAACTATAGCTATAGACGGATCAAGCGCCACGACGGATTGGAAAAAAATTATAGCAGAAGGCATGGTACCAGGAAGGAGGGACAGGGGCCGACCGACACGAAGATGGGCACACGATATAAGTGACTCCTTGAGTGTGAAAGTTCATGAGGCGGGAGAACTGGCAAGAGACCGAGTTTCTTACAGGCAGACTGTGATGAGAGCGACGTTCTGTAAAGGATCTGCTACATGATGATGATGATAGCTATAAAAGGTGCTAGTTTGCCTAGTTACTTTGTACTCCGTTCTGTACTCCGTACTTCGTCTGTCTTTGTGCTATGGGAAGCCGGCTATTCGAATGAGTCACACATATTTTGGTGATTTGGGGCATTCCTCTCACCCCCTCTAGTCACAGGCAATTCTTTTTTGACGCTCCATTCTAAATTGCTTGTTGGGACTTCCATCTACATGTCCTATAGATGATTAGAGACTGCCCGTGAAAATAGCGTTCAAACCTGGCCGAATGGCTAGTGGAATTGCACTAGACAGTATGGGTTGAATGACTGCTTTGTGTCGAGAGCATCTCCCTTATCGCTCAGGGGGTAAAAACCCAAACATGCCTGAACAGATCTATTCCATACGCCTTTTCAATGACCCCACAGCCAGCACAAGGCTTTCTCTGCCGCCTCATCCAAAAGTTGCAATGCACCTGGCCCTTCATTCTTAGTTGTTTTTGTGTCTGGCACCTATACCATAATTCTCCAGCGTGTGCGTGTGCTGCTCCTTGATTCTCTATTTATAAAGAAGCTGCTTGTGACTAGCTGTATCATAAACACATTCAACACATAACAAACTATTATAAACAAATTCAACACATAACAAACTATCATAAACAGATTGAATATAAAACAAATTGTATCGTAAACAGATTCAACAGTGTGATGATGTGCTTTGCATGGTCTCAATGCGTATAGTGTGGCAAGCAGAAAGTCCGTGCGACAAACGACCGCACAAGATACTAGGGGGTTGGTCGAGTAAGCAAGGGAAAGCCTGAGCTGGACTCGTGGTCAGATTGGTACCAGAGTCAGAAGAAGACAGTCGTGATGTCGTTACTGTAGTTTTAATTACATGCAGTTAACGTGGAGTAAATGAGTATTGTGTCATATTTGTGGAAGTGAACAGCGATGTTGCGATTGAGTAATTGAGATGAAATAGAAGAAATAAACTGGCAGAATGTCTATTGGAATCTGAGTGGCGTGTCAGTTGTCAATTGTAGGATGCTGTATTTGTTCTAGAGTAAACGAACCATAGTAAAAGCGACCCAGCTATCATACGAGCCAGTAATCTCACACAAAACCAGCTTTCTTACAAACAGAAAACTCACTATATGACAAACAGATTTAGCAAATAGTATACTATCTATAAAAATAGTTTTAAGCACAAAACAAACGATGTCTAACTTTGCAGTCAATGTAAACTTTCTGAAGAAGCATCTCGGAGCCTTTGTTGATGTGAACAAGGGATGACTGCGACTGCCCCTCGCCATCTACGTAGCTAACAGTCACGTCACAGAGAAGTTTCCAGGCTTGTGCAACTTCATCATAGCTTTAGTTAACGCCTGCATGCCAATCACGGTGTCCTGTCAGACAAAACGATGCAGGGTGATAACTTTCTCTAATAAGATGTGTGTGAGGTATGTTTTGTTTGTTGTTGTTTTAATACTTTCCTTTTTTCTGCCCTTCTAACTCCCCAGTGGAGCATAAGCCCTCAACCAACTCACGCCAATTCGTTCTGTATTTTCGCTAACGCATGTAGCTTTCCCCATGTCCCCTCCATCATTTTAACCTCGCTATCTGGCTCCCTTCTCTGTGTGTTTTTGGTCTTCCTTTATTTCTATACCATTGTGGGTTCCAGTGCAAAGACATCCTAGTAAGTAACACAACATGTGTGAAAGTATCTTTTTCTTGAATATCATTTTCACTATTAGCATCATCCTCCAACTGTGCAAACATTTGATTCATCAAATGTATAGAATGTCTTTGCACTTGAACACACAACGGCATAGAAAAAAGGCAGAAAAAAAAACAAACGAGCAGAGAAGGAAGCCACAAAATGAAGTTAATCAGATAGGAGGGAAATGGGACGAGTTGCATGCAACAGCAAAGCATATGACGACTTGTAAGATGTTTGAGGGCCTATGCTCGATTAGGTGATAAAGACCAGAAAACATGTGTATCTTCTTCTTCTTTGCTGTTTGTGTGCTAGATACCCCAGTTCCACAGACCTATCAACATTCGTAGTAAGGTTTTGCTAGAACATATCTTTCTAGAAGAGAATTTAGTAATCCGATGAAATTTTAGACATCTGTTAAACTTATTAAACACGGTTCAAAGAATATTGCTGACCAATATTTAAGATTATGGAGAAAGACTCCTGGGAATTTCAAAACTTATTATATAAGAAGTAAACGAACATGTGATGTCTTCAAATGTTCAGATATGTTTAAGGTTCCGAAAGTAATTGAGACTAAAAAATGGCGCTAAGACGACAAAGAAGCTACACTACTTAAAACGAGAGGGTTAATGGGGCAATTGCAACTGTAACTCACGTCACATTTAAGAAAAAGTGGCAGAAGATTGAATACGGCTAGCGTGCACCAGAGCTAATGGCTCCCATATAAAAGTATAATAAGTAAGATTAAACCTCCTTAAATGACCCGGTGATGTGATTATTGATACAGATGGCTCTGTGCTGAGAGGTAGACGAAGTGCATTGGGGTTCATAGCAAAAACAAATGGACGTCGCTTAGTGAAATAAAGCCTGACATTTGATATCACAACGTCAAGTTTAAGAATGGAGGTGGAGGCAGTCATTGCTGCCCTCCACTAGATTCAGAATCAGCTGTAAACACATGTCATTGTAACGGACACAAAAGTATGTGAGAAAGGTAGAGAGAGAGGCATGCTTCCTGCAGAGTGGCAAGAATTGCTTTAAAAGTCCCAGGTAGTTCGCGTCCTTTGAATATTTTCTCCAGGTCATACTGGTGTGTTGGAAAAGGAGCAGCCAGACAGACTGGCTGGTTCTGCACCACATGGTGGTGAACTGATGTATGACAAGCCAAATTTTGTGACCTCCATTTGGGAGGTCTGAAAAGTGTGGAGGCACAAATAGATAATTAGGTCTGAGAAGAATGGCACTGCGGGGAGTTACCAGGAGATCTGACCGATGCTCAACACACAGAGGAAAGGCGAGGCGGATGTACAATCAGTTACTGGTACCATCTAAACTGCAACTCTTAGCTTGCTGCTGAAGATGGGGACGGAGAGCATATGGGAGTGTCCCGTGTACTACGATGTCGATTCTCAATTCAACATTCAAACCATTGAACTTTTCTAAGCATTGTAAGACGTCAAACATTTATATCCTTAAGTACTTCTGTTACAAAAACATTTGTTTAAATCATAGCAGTCATTTCGCAATGACCCTGTGTTTAAATTTAGAATTGAAAAAAAAAATATTTGTACCTGAGTGGAAACAAAACCGCTATTGGGGCCTCTCTGGTTGGTCAACCAACGGATAATAGGTAATCCCTGAGTGACTTCAATGCCTCGGATGCTGTACACTAGGAGACAATATGACGTCATCTCAATGGCTATACTGTCCGCAGATGCAGACCAGGCATAACCGGCGTAAGCGTCTTGCAGAGAACTTGAACGTTTCCAGAATTTCAAACTATCTGTGACAGTGAGAAAAGCGATTCACAAACTTTCAACTAAAATAGTTGGCAAGGAAAGATGCAAGGCATATTGTATTAGAAAACGATTGTGTCTGTCTCTGCCGATCTGTTTGTTTGTCAGACTGACTGCCTGTCGGCCTGTCTGTCCATCCGTCTGTCTGTCTGTCTCTGTCTGTCCGTCCGTCTGTCTATATAATGTATGTAAGGAATGAGCCCAACATGGCAGGATGTGAGACGGGCCAACACGCCCAGTTCTTGACCTAACCTGTGAAAACTAAGGTGTGTCTGTCTGGCAGTCAGTCCTGTCTGTCAGTCAGTCTGTTTGTCAGTCTGACTATCTTTCTATAACTATTTTTGCCCCCCTTTTATGCTCTCAAACAAAGCTTATGCTTCTTGAGACCTCTCACATGGAAAACGTTAAAGAGAAGGACCGAACTCCTGCCCCCTGGCCCTAACTTCTCATGTTTTCTTTGTGCCCGAGGCGTCCCAGATTGCATGTAATTCCCAAATTATGGTATCATTAGGACTAGAACTCTGCATCGCTTGATGAAAAGGGAAAAGGAGCGCTTATGGAAATATCCCGAGTTTCAAGAAGCTTGTCTTAACGCAGCTCACATAAGCTCACAAATTCTCACCTCCATTTTGGGCAAGCGCTTCCACCTTGGAAAAAATAGAATCCTTCAATGGGTGGCCCAGAAGATGCAAGGCGTATGAAGTAATGCACAAGTCGAATGGGTCCTTCAGGGCATCGATCCGTCCAGCCAGGTATTCTGCTGCCTGAGAGATGCTCTTTTGTATCTGCATTCCGGGGAAAAAAACGTAAGGGTGAAGAAATTTAACAAACACAAAGCAAGGAGGAAATACAACTTGGAATAGTCTGTGTAATCCTTTTTGTCAAATAGGACAAGACAGAGAATTCTTAAGAGCTACATATGTCTTATCCTGTTATGTGGAAGTGAATCATGGACCTGCGAATAATATCTGAAATATATGGAAGCGGTGGAGACGATGTGTTATAAACAAATGATGAGAATACCATGGTCAGATGAACAAACAAACAAATAAACAGAAGCGACTTTAATACAAGCTTATAAAAAGAGTAATTAAGACGCCTTGAAAGAAACACAAATAGAATGACTGGCCACTCAGAAAGAGACAATAGACAACCGGACTACATCTTGAAGATAAGAAAGTTGGAGGGGAAAAGAGGCAAATGATGCTGGACAGTTTGACATCATAGTATGAGGAAGGAGAGGAGGAGGAGGAGGAGAAGAAGAAGAAGAAGAAGAAGAAGAAGAAGAAGAAGAAGAAGAAGAAGAAGAAGAAGAAGAAGAAGAAGAAGAAGAAGAAGAAGAAGAAGAAGAAGAAGAAGAAGAAAAGGAAGAAAAAAAAGAAGAAGAAACATGTTTCGTATTTAAGAAACAACGCTCGTCACGTATATATTTTCTAACCCCTAAGCGGCAGCAGATGTCGCGTTAGCTGAAAACTGTAACGCAGTGACATCCGATTTAACACACACACACACACACACAAAATTGCTATCTACATTTGTTTTTGTTTCTGTGTTTGGGTAGTTGTCAGGTGGGCTGCGAAACAATTTCCTCTGCTTTGGTTGCCGTGGGTATAAAAAGGCTGAGGAAGTCTGATCTAAAGGACATTGCAATTACGGCTGTCTTGACAGAAGTATGACCCCGTGTGAGATCACAAACCCATTGCGAAAAGTAGATATAATTAGTTAGTTAATCGACAGATTATCCTTATTGCACCTCGGGCGAGTCCATAAGCGATTGGATCCCATCTTCAGCATCTCCCTCAGTGTGTAGCGACTGATAACACCAGTTCTTTTTTGCTACCTGTATAGTGTTCATGTTTTGCGACACCTCTTTTGATCTGACATTCTTGTAGTCTTTTGAGTATTGCCGATTCAACATCTTCTCCTGATATACTATTCAATAACAAGTATGTCGTAAAGGGCAAGCAATTAGGGTTTTGCAACACAAAATATGTTGAGCGAAAGGAGTTGATACCGCCCATTGCTGTAACAACAACACAGCGTGCCTACCCCCACCCATTTCAAGGGAGAATGAAGAGTAAGGGGGTAGAAACACAGAACAATAAAAAAAGAGCAAACGAAAGAATGAAATAAAGGACAGAATGAAAGAAAGAATAAAACAAACAAACAAACAAACAAAGAATCATCGACAATGTAATCTAATGTTCTTTGTCCTCATCAGTTTAAAAGTTTTAACTTGTTTACTTTTCATTAAATATGGTTGAAAATTTCATGCTCCTCCAGTGGCTGCGTTCATTCCTCGCGGTGAACGGATACAAATTCGTTTTCTTGGTTTTCCGATATAGGTACGAGAAATCGCACCGTGGAAGACATTGGAACCTCACCATGTAATAATCTCCAAGAGTGTGAAATGTTTAATTAAGAATGAACATCATAGAATGTTGGACTGTCTGACTGTACATCTGCCTCGCCTCTCCCCCAGAGTGTTGATGCGTCTGGTAACTGCCTGCATGCCAATACAGCCCAGGCTGTAATGATCTATTTCTTCTCCTGCACTGTTCACTCACTGTCAAGGAGCCCTCACCACATCTGTTCCCAAAGACAACAGTGGTTACACAGTAGCCAGCCTTCAACGTAGAGACAGCATATTTTTAATTCATTAAAATCCTAGAGTTTGTCTGCCCCTCGATCTCTTTTACCTTTGCTCTCAGGTGTTTCTTTAAGGAGGAGCGGGCTGGCCAAGCGGTGACAATGTCAGGCTCTCATGCGGGAGACCCGGGTTCGACCCTTGGTAAGGTGATGGAGTTTTTCTGATAGGGGTAAAAAATTAAACAACCTAACCTGCACAGTCCATGGCGAACAGGTGCTTTGACTTTCTCATACCAGGCAAGTGGCCGATGTTTCTCCAGTGAAACTATGTAAACGACGTCAATTATTATCACAAACAGACACGATGTAACATACCTCTGCAGCAAACGTGGTATTACCCTTGACTGTTTTGGCCGCTTCGATCAAAGAAATGAGTGTGTACGCGGTAAGTGCTTCTCCTTCTGCCGACCCTCCCTGTATTAGAACAAAAAATAAATCCAGTTTCCATTTTTCACTCCCAATCAACGCACCATGTGTGATCAGCTGTTTCTAGGTTAAAATGGTTAAAATGGACGCTAGACAGCGGCGCTGTTCGAAGCAGAGGCATTTTTTTTTGCTTCTGCCGGACGGTGGCCGAAGTATTTTTGCTCCATTTGTAGACTGGATATAGTTTCGTCGCCCAGCTTCTGAGTTGAATGCATGGCGTGACCCTGTGAGCTGCGGATTGCATTTGGAATGTTTTTTCGACTGTGACCAACGTGGTGTGAATTGTAGATTCAGAAAATGGCGTGATGCCGGTCGTCAATGTTGGCGGTGCCCGGATGTGATTACAATAGATCGCGTGGGCAACTGCTGATCTGTTGGCAACAAGTTCTGCTATCATCAATGATGAACTGCATTTCTAATGTTGGACTGTTTGTGCTAGCACTTCGGATGGCTACCGTATGCTTTAATGTGAGTGTATGCTATATATGCTGAGACAGCAGTCTGTCAATCTTTCCACAAGGGACTGTGATAAACATTCTGAGTGTTTTTTCGTTGGCACAGGAGCGGAGCAAAGATGGGGCGACCCGTTTGCCATGAAGCTGAAACTAAGACTACCAGACTACCAGACTACCAGCTGTTGCTAGGGTTTTCTTATCGTCCTATTTTGGCGGGGAAAGTATCGTTTTATTTTTCAGGTAGTCTCAAACCGTCGAGTTGATACTGAAATAAAATCTATTGTCCCAAGTGACTGTATCGATGCGACGGTTTGGGCCTAGCTAAAAACGATACTGTCCCGGCGAAAACAGGACGATATGGTCAGCCTAGCAATTAGCCATATTTACCAAGCTACCAACAATGTTATGTAATGTTTAGCTTGAGCATACTAAAGAAACCTGGCTACTTATTTCAATGCCCCAACTTGGTATATGTGTGCTACATCTGTGACAGATTATCACATTCTATATTCACTGCAATCAATGTAACTATTGTTAAACTTAGGAACATCCTGGTACTTATTGAATACACTTGACTTTTTTATACAAAGTCTTTAAAGTCGAGAGAATTAATTTCAGTGCACTGGGTTTTATTCCAAGTGGATCAGTCTCTCTCTGCAGAGCGACTGTGTGCTTCAAGTATTTGCGAAACCTCACATGTATTTCACTAGTTTTCAAACAGGAAGTGACAGACATTTTGTGTGATTTTCCCTGGCACCGGAACAGAGCAACTGATTGGGCAACCCGTTTGTAGTGAAGTCGGAATCATGACTTACAACTAATGACAGGATAATTCAGCCACACCAATATATAACTTCTTACCTGCATCTCTTTGTGGAAAACTTTGCCATCTTCAGTGAAAGATCCATTTGGATTTTGTTTTGAGATCAAGAATCTGAGAGTAACACTCATTACGTCGGTCACGTTGATTTGGAGAATGTTGTTAAATTCTTCGTTTAAACTGGAAGCCTGGGCGATACAGTTCAGAACAAATGCCGAAAGCCTGTGGATTGTAAACAGACATATAGCACAGAACTGAATATGTGTACAAGTATGTCCTTGGAGAACCATTCTCTTTTTCTTCTTCTGCCTTTCTGACCCCCAACAGAGCATAGGCCTTCAATCAACTCACGCCAAGTCGTTTTTTCTTTCGCTGTTGCATGCAGTTCTCCCCATCTTTTTTTTCAACTTCACTCTCTCCCTCCCTTCACTTTGTGTGTGTGTGTGTTTTTTTTTAATCTTTCTTTATTTCTTTGCACCTGTGGGTTCCAGTACAGTGACCAATAAGATGATTGACATCATTATCATTGTTGTTAGAGATATCTGCATCTCTGTAAAGACTTTGCCACCTTCAAATGAAAGATCCAAAATCTAATCAGAATCGTCATTATCATCATCGTCATTATAATTATCATTATCAGCACTACTATCATCATCACTATCTCTATCATCATCATCACCATCATCACCATTATCAATGTCATCATCATCATCATCATCACCATCATCCTCATTATCAATGTCATCATCATCATCATCGTCATCATTACTATCATCATCATCATCATTTCTGTTATCATCATTATCATCATCATCATGATCATTATCATCATCATCGTCATCATCATTACTGTCATAATCATCATCATTATCATCATCACTATTTTCATCGTAATCAGAAGTGTAATCATCATCATCATTACTGTCATAATCATCATCATTATCATCATCACTATTTTCATCGTAATCAGAAGTGTCATCATCATCAAAAGCATAATCATCATCATCGTCCTGTTGTGCTTTGTTGATTTTGAGAAGACCTTTGACAACTCAGACTGGACATCAGTATGGGCAGTCAAGACAGGTTATGACCTATGAAACTGTTCCCAGTGTCATTTGTTACACTGGAATCACCAGTAACAATAATTGGCCAGAACAAAAAAAAACCAGTAACCAGTAACAATAATAGTATCCAGTAACAAGACATTACCAGACATCAGTCACAAGGGGGAAAACAGTAACCAGTAAGAGTAACTAATATTTAATAACGAGAAATATCCAATAACAACACCCAGCATGTGGTAAAAAGAAATAACTAGTAGCAGTAACCAGTATCCGGTAACAAGAAATAACCAGTGACAATAACTAGCGTCTTGTAAAAAGAAATAACCAGTAACCAAACCAGCATCTTGTAACAAGAAATAACCAGTAACCAAACCAGCATCTTGTGACAAGAAATAACCAGTAACCAAACCAGCATCTTGTAACAAGAAATAACCAGTAACCAAACCAGCATCTTGTAACAAGAAATAACCAGTAACCAAACCAGCATCTTGTAACAAGAAATAACCAGTAATCAAACCAGCATCTTGTAACAAGAAATAACCAGTAACAATAACCAGTAACCTGTAGCAAGAAATAACTATTAATAATAACCAGTAACAAGAAATAACCAGTAACAATAACCAGTAACCTGTAGCAAGAAATAACTAGTAATAATAACCAGTAACAAGAAATAACCAGTAACAATAACCAGTATCTGGTAACACGAAATAACAAGTAACAGTAACCCGTATCTCATAACAAGAAATAACCAGTAACAGTAACCAGCATCTCATAACAAGCATAATCAGTAACCAGACTGAGGAAATAACCAGTAACAGTAACCAACACACTCACACACACACCACCCCCCCCCCACACACACACAGAGTAAACTTACCAGGTACTAGCAATTTTATCCTGCTCCCCAAAAGCGCTGAAACCTCCCGTCTTGTGCATGTATGTGAGTTCTGTCTGGTAGCCTGAAACAGAACTTACAGTATTACAGATAGTTTGTATTAACAATTTAACAAAAACAGTTTGTTTAAGGCAAACCCAGGAACGCCAGCAAGAAGATTCTTAGGCCAGTCAAATATTCTTATCAAATATATTTAAAAAGAGGACATGTGCTTCTGTAAAAGATAACAAAACAAAAAGTACATAAGAGTATAAAAACCACAAGGAAACCAACAAAAAGCAATGCATTTAACAATAAATTGATGACAAGATGATAACAGTCGATATAAGTGAGATTTAATAGCATTTATATTCTGCTAAACAAAGAGACTTTCCTATCCTTTCCCCTGGTATTACAGGGAATTACATCATCAAAATTAATCGCTTTTGCAAGACCAGGCTCAATAGTGAGTCTACTCATGGCTTCTGGATACTAAAACAACAAAAAACAACAAAACAAAAACAACAGTGAGTCTTTTCTAATCTACCTGTCCCGCCTGTAACACAGTCAGGGTTGTAGAGAGAATGTTTAAGATCCGGAACAAGAGACTTACATGCATCTCCCCCTCCAGCCCACCCCCCCCCCACCCCCCTTACATAGACACGGACAAAAAAGTCAGTTATGTCATATATGTACAGTTAATAATTAGATTCACACATACTAGAACATGTGTTTAAAAGATGACAGGTAACTATAATACAAATTGTTAAATTAACTCTAAGAAAACAACATACATAAGCAATCAATTTAATATTACACTGCTGACTTACAGAGCATGGCGTTCGGAAATCTATACTGCATATCCCAGACACCATTACTGATTGATCTACTCCTCCCCCCCCCCCCCCCCCCCCCCCCCTCCAACGGCCACTAAAGGCTTATCATCCTCGATTTGGGGGCATCTTGAATGTCAAACATGCCAAATCCCACATAATGTTCCTGAAAAGGTATAATCCCTCAGAATTATTATGTTGTGTCATGTATACGTCTCATAGGGATAGCAGTCTATTCGAAAGAGAATAAAATTGTTTCCACTTTTTTAACTTGCATGTTATGTTATCACAATCGACGTATTCGCACACTGGGCATCCCCATGCGCGCTCAATCCTCCGATGCAGCAGCCACTCCAAGCTACCTCTACTGATTGTTCCCTAGAGTAGTTAGTTATGGTATATCCTGTTTTTACCTCGAAGACGACATAGACGTGCTTCATCAAGCTTACCTCCTTGGTCACGCAGTCGTGTTAGCATCAGAGATTCGCCGTTATCCCGCAACCTAGTCCGTACAGCGTTGATAATATCAGCTCTGCCCATGCTTTTTTTTCCGTTGTGCATTAGTCGCCAGCTGCTCAGCTTTATAATTACCATTTACTCCTGCTTGCCCGGGCGTGTAGATGCAGTGGGTGGAGGTTAACTGCGACTTGTGAATGCTTTCTACCAATTTGGAGCATAGACTCCCTGTAGCGATTTTCGGAGGCATGTTCATAGTCTGACACAATTACCGCATGTGTGGTCGCTTGTTCTGCTACCCATGTGAGTACTCTGGTAGCAGCAGCTATCTCTATGGTTATGTTTGACGTAGTTGTCTGGTATGCACCGCTATCCTCTTTTATTGTTTCCCCTATCCTTTGTGCTGTGTATGCCCATGTCGATCTTGATCCGCGCTTCACAGACCCATCTGTGTTTAAACTGTGTTTAATACTGTAGTCTTCTTCGTCTTCTTCTTTTGCATCTTCTGCTGCTTCTTCTTCTTCTTCTTCTTAGCGTTTAGTGGCTGTAAACTCCTGCGGAAAGTTTTGGCTGTTCGTGCATTTGTGGACTTTGATCTTGTACTAGAACTTGCACTTCTCGTGCACACCATTTTTACATATCTTGATTATTTTGATGCAGACTTTTGGTTCCTTACCTCTCAGTCAGAAGGATTTCTAAGGAAACTACCCAAATTAGCCGCCTTTTACGACACTTTTGTTAGAGGTCAGTGAGTACTCTCCCCACCGCTATTTTTTTCTATCCTTTATGGAGTCACAGAATCCATACGGAGATAACAAAGCAGTGTCCCGGATAAACAGGCACTTCTAGACATCTTGTGACTGACCTGTCTCAATGTAGCCAATGGCGCGCTGGATCAACTCAGGCTTTTCTGTGCCGGTATCCAGGAAGTACCTGGTCATGAAGACGCTGGGAGCAAAGTTCAACATGTTCTGCTCTCCACAACCATAGGGCTGCCTCAGCAAGTCCTGGATGTTCTCCAACATGGGGCCCATTAGATTTCCTGTGTGCAAGAAGTCATGTGACAATATTATGATACTCTGTGTTGTGTTTGTGAAGAGTGTAAAAATAAAGTTGTTAGTGTTTTATAATGTATTCTGTAAGACCCTTGTTGTTCTGGTGATTACCTCTTCTAGCAATATACCCATCTAGCACAGTGACTCCCAAACTTCCTAATGCCACGACCCTTTAATACAGTTCCCTCATGTTGTGGCGACTCCCAGACAATTATTTTCCTTAATAACTTCAATGAATGTGTGTTTTCTGATGGTCTTGTGAAAGGGTCGTTCGACCCCCCCCCCCCCCCCCCCCCCCTCTTTAAAAAAAGGTCTCGACCGCCAGGTTGAAAACCGCTACCCTATAGGCTCCGCCTCTTAGTGCACAAGTGATGTCCCGTCGATTTTTTTTCCAGTATGGTAAAACTCCTATTATTACGGTAAACATAGACTTTTACAGCGGCAAATTAGGGGAACTACCAGATAGGTAGTTCTGTGCTTTTGGGTGGTGAATGATGTGTGTCAAGGCAGATGTGCTAAAAGAAATAATTAAAAAAAAAAAACATGCTTTGTCTGCACACGCATGTGATTGTAAACGACTCGCATAGTATGCTGAGAAACGCGGAGAAAGACACACTCCATCCAGAGGGGGTAAGCACAGCTGCAGAGATTTCCGGAAGTTAGCATCCTTTCGGTCTCCATCCAGGTGTTTTGTGAAAGGAATAGGCAGACAGATTGTCTGGTGTTGCACCAGTTGGTGGCGAAAGTATGCCTGACAAGCTGGATGTGGTCAATGCCTTTTTGGGATCAGGTGACACAACACAAAATAGATCATTATGGTGAGGAGAGAACTGTACAGCAGTGTGTGACCTGGGGATCCGGACAACACTCTACACTCAGGGAATCTTGTCAACACTCTAGGCTCAGGAAATCTGGTCAACACTCTACACTCAGGGGGGCTGGTCAACACTCTACACTCAGGGGTCTGGTCAACACTCCACACTCAGTGAATCTGGTCAACACTCTACACTCAGGGGATCTGGTCAACACTCTACACTCAGGAGGTCTGGTCAACACTCTACATTCAGTGGGTCTGGTCAACACTCTACACTCAGGGGCTCTGGTCAACACTCTACACTCAGGCCGTCTGTCTTCCAAGGCTAAAGGCCTTGTCTGCCCTGTCATAATTCCCATTAAAATATTTGTTACCTGTCCTCTTGCTAGAAAAAGGCAAGTAAAATGTAGACTGGAGTTAATTGAACGTACGCGAGACAGAGGGCGGTGGATAGACATGACTACCAACGCCACACGGCATGGACTATGGAAGATCATCTGTGTTAGAACTGACTGAAAGTACAAAAGACAGAAGGCGGTGGATAGACATGACTACCAACGCCACACGGCATGGACTTTAAGAAGAAGAAGACTGGAAAAACTAGAGGTCCTAAAAGACACTCAATGGTCAGAGGAAGAAAATGCACTAGACGATTCATTCATTCATTTAGTAGCATGTCCCTCGCGGAACCTCGCTGCCATAACAACCCTCCGGAAAACCTTCCTATCCTGAGCAAGATGTCCTGCGTCTGATACACCCATCTGGAGATCATCTGCCACATCCTGCACCCATCTTCTCCTTGGCCTTCCTCTTCCTCTCTTCCCAGGCATATACCCCTCCATTATTGTTCTCTCTAGACTTCCATGACGTTTCAAGTGACCAAAATATTTCAATTTTCTTTGTTTTATTGTCTTTACACTAGACGATATACAGCGAAATATGTCAATAAATTGCGCTATGTGCTGTGCCCACAAGCAATAATGATTTAAACTCAAATGACCATACCCGCGATATCGACAGTCAGTCTTTGAGAGTCCGGTACAGTTTCTGGAGGGAATTCAATTTTTGCTTCCTTTTGCCAAAATGTGTCTGTTAGGTTCACCAGGAAATTCAGCGTTTTGGAGCGAAGGACTCCTTCAGGCTGGAAAAAAAAAACCACGCTGGCATGTATTTGATTAAATCTCTCAGAAGGCAGACAAAATAGCTGCAATCATTAAGATACAGACAGATAGATAGACAGACAGATGACGAGTCACTTAGACAGTCAGGCACATAAACAAGCAAAACAGTTAACATCAGAGTCAGTCAGACAGACAGACAGACAGACAGACAGATGACAAATCGTTAAGAAAATCATACACAGAAAACAAGCAAAACAGATTACACCAGTCAGACAGACAGATAGATGACAAATTATTAGGACAGACAGGCACACAAACAAGCAAAACAGGTTACATCAGACAGACAGACGGATGACAGATTATTAATACAGCCAGGCACAGAAACAAGCAGAACACGTTACATCAGACAGACAGATAGACAAACAATAGGCAAACAAGCAAGCCAATGGGTGGATAGATGGACAGACAGTAGGAATTACATTATACAGATAGACAGACAGACAGACAGACTTCCCGTAACATACAACATTCCTAAGGACCGCATCGATAAATATTGTTGTGCTGTTTTGACGTACTCAGTATCCCCATGGAGTGATGGACATGGGGGAACAATCTGGAGCAGCTAGATTTAAATGTTTCACTAAGGGCACAAGATCTTTGATTAATTAACACAGAATGGGCGTGATCAGCCATGCTTGATCTGTGGATCTATCAAGGAGGAGATGGAAGCGGCCATGGGTCTGTCTACAGGGCTATGATGATCTGTCTACTGTGTTGTTATGATCTGTCTGCAGTGTTCTGATGATATGTCTACAGTGCTGTGATGATCTGTCTACTGTGCTGTGATGATCTGTCTATTGTGCTGTGATGATCTGTCTACAGTGCTCTGATGATCTGTCTACTGTGCTGTGATGATATGTCTACTGTGCTGTGATGATCTGTCTACTGTGCTGTGATGATCTGTCTACTGTGCTGTGATGATCTGTCTACAGTGCTGTGATGATCTGTCTACAGTGCTCTGATGATATGCCTACTGTGCTGTGATGATCTGTCTTCAGTGCTCTGATGATCTGTCTACAGTGCTCTGATGATCTGTCTACTGTGCTGTGATGATATGTCTACTGTGCTGTGATGATCTGTCTACTGTGCTGTGATGATCTGTCTACTGTGCTGTGATGATCTGTCTACAGTGCTGTGATGATCTGTCTACAGTGCTCTGATGATATGCCTACTGTGCTGTGATGATCTGTCTTCTGTGCTGTGATGATCTGTCTACAGTGCTCTGATGATCTGTTTACTGTGCTGTGATGATCTGTCTACAGAGCTCTGATGATATGTCTACTGTGTTGTGATGATCTGTCTACAGTGCTGTGATGATCTGTCTACAGAGCTCCGATGATATGTCTACTGTGCTGTGATGATATGTCTACAGTGTTGTGATGATCTGTCTACAGTGCTGTGATGATCTGTCTACAGAGCTCTGATGATATGTCTACTGTGCTGTGATGATCTGTCTACTGTGCTGTGATGATCTGTCTACTGTGCTGTGATGATCTGTCTACAGTGCTCTGATGATCTGTCTACTGTGCTGTGATGATATGTCTACTGTGCTGTGATGATCTGTCTACTGTGCTGTGATGATCTGTCTACAGTGCTCTGATGATCTGTCTACTGTGCTGTGATGATATGTCTACTGTGCTGTGATGATCTGTCTACAGTGCTGTGATGATCTGTCTACAGTGCTGTGATGATCTGTCTTCAGTGCTCTGATGATCTGTCTACAGTGCTGTGATGATCTGTCTTCAGTGCTCTGATGATCTGTCTACAGTGCTGTGATGATCTGTCTTCAGTGCTCTGATGATCTGTCTACAGTGCTGTGATGATCTGTCTTCAGTGCTCTGATGATCTGTCTACAGTGCTGTGATGATCCGTCTACAGTGTTGTGATGATCTGTCTACAGTGCTGTGATGATATGTCTACAGTGCTGTGATGATCTGTCTACAGTGCTGTGATGATCTGTCTACAGTGCTGTGATGATCCGTCTACAGTACTGCGATGATCTGTCTACAGTGCTGTGATGATCTGTCTACTGTGCTGTGATGATCTGTCTACAGTACTGCGATGATCTGTCTACAGTGCTGTGATGATCTGTCTACAGTACTGCGATGATCTGTCTACAGTGCTGTGATGATCTGTCTACAGTGTTGTGATGATCTGTCTACAGTGCTGTGATGATCTGTCTACAGTGTTGTGATGATCTGTCTTCAGTGCTCTGATGATCTGTCTACAGTGCTGTGATGATCTGTCTACAGTGTTGTGATGATCTGTCTACAGTGCTGTGATGATCTGTCTACAGTGCTGTGATGATCTGTCTTCAGTGCTCTGATGATCTGTCTACAGTGCTGTGATGATCTGTCTACAGTACTGCGATGATCTGTCTACAGTGCTATAATGATCTGTCTATCAATATCTTCTTCATGTCGCTACTGACACATAAGGTTTTCAGGAGTGATCTCTATTGCGCCGCTGCAGATACTGCTTTTCTGCCTATGGTATCTCATGTTATTTTACGTTCCTTTATTTCCCTTTCCACTGTCTCTTTCCAGGTTTCCTTAAGTTACGATGTATCTTTTTTTCGTTTCATCTGCCTTCCCCCGGAAAGTTGTCCTTGTCAAAGTGTCACGAGGCATTCTGATTATAAGTCCTCGTTATCTCCATCTTCTTCCTTTAATAACGTTTGCCAGTGACGAACATTTTGTTTCTATCCTCAGTTCTTCATCTGCCATCTTGTTTTGCCAAAATATTAATGGGATTCTTCTTAGACATCTATTTTTAAAATGTTCCAATGCAGCGGATCTAGGAGGGACGTTCCGAATGGTGAGCAGAGCCCAGTTTTTTTTTTATTCAGCATCTTCTGAAGCTTGCTTTGTTCCAATCTGACTGGCTTATTCTTTACTTTTGAGTTAACAAAGCAGGCCTAAATCTGAATGAACAACACACAAATAGTAAATTGGCTCTTTTTCACGCCCTTAGTC